AGATGGTTGGCATCAGCATCCTGGCTAAATTCCAATTAGGTGAAACTCCCCTGTAGTTTACACTGAATAGAGGATTTTTCACTTTGTATCCTGAATGGTTGCAATGTGTTGCTTTGACTGCAGAAGTGGAAACGTTGCAACGAGTACAGAACTTATCCCTGTTTGTAAATGGTTTTATGAATGTCACACACTTTGGGAACTTTTGATAAAATGTACTCTATAAATATCCGTTACTAACTTATCTGGTATCACTTTAATCAGGGTCACACAGTTTAATACCCCCTGTACCAATCAATCCATAAGTTTGTTTGCTATTCCACTATTGTAAGTGCCGGAATCATCCATAGCTGATAACCCTTTAATTGGTTTAATGTTTGACAACAAAGCTACATCTTTTAAACTGCCACAGATGGTGGCTTAATTCACAACTCCATCTGCTGTTTTCCTGTTTCCAATGCTCAATAATTTCCCGCTTTATTACTATTTCAATGTTTTCTTTTAACTACAGAACCACTCTTCTTCCAGGTCTGTCTTTTAAATCCAGAACAAGGTTAATGTATTGCTGTATATAATGATACTTTGTTTTGTATACCAGTAGAAGGAAAAGCAAGGTCGCATTCTATGGTAAAACTAGCTATTGCTCTCAAATTATACACATCACAGGACACTCAAAAATAAACAGCCTGACAGAGAAAAACCTTAAGGAAATGGCCAGTGGAACATGACACAGGAGTGCCACAAATATAGCTCCACAAATATAGCTCCACAGGAAACCTGACAACTCTCAGTCCTCAGTCTCTTTTCCATCCTCTCTTGATTCTCATTTCACTGAAACTTTGCTATGTAACTACCAACAGCAGTCACAAGACTAAAATAACACGAAACCAAAACACCCACATTACATTTTCATAGAGGTTTAGCATACATAAGCTGAAGAAAACCTTCACTTCATCCATTCAAACATAATGATCAAGGCAAAAGGGAGGAGTAGTCTGAACATTAACCTCCAGTTATGGAGCAAGAACTACTGAAAACTAAATAGGCTTAGCCATTCCAAGAGAAATATTTGCTTTAAATGTGAAATAAGGCATCAGTAACCAATACACAAAACCAAAACTAAATACTGCAGCCTTGCACGCTACATAGGCAGAGACCTTTAGCATGCTGTTCTAGAGTAAGTGCCCTAAAGTCACTTTTCTGTCCGTTGGCCTTCAACAGAACTCTGAATTGAGCTTCTGTTCTGGGGAGTGACTCTTTAAAGAGGCATTGTCGGGTTCCATGTTTTCTGTTCCTCAGTCAATTCCATATACCTGTAAACTCACCCTGGGATCTGAAAGTCAGACTGGATGTTCTCTGGCTAGCGCATCATCAACAGCAACAACAAAGGATCTATGGGCCAAATTCAACCCTCATTCACATCTCTGCAACCCGACGGTTTTCAGAGGAGTTGCACCAGTGTAAGGGGGGTAGAAAATGGATCAACTACTGGAACTCAAGCTTGATCTACACTCAAAAATTAGATCAACCTAGCTATGCCACTCCGGGCTGCGGAAAATTTTGTGCCCTATGCAATGTAGTTAGGTCACTCTAACTTCCGGTGTAAATGGAGTTCTTCCATTGACCTAGATACTGCCTCTCGGAGAAGCGGATGAAATACATCGATTGAAAAACCTTTTCTGTTTGTAGCATAGCTATACTCAATTATTCTATTGACATGTGAGCAGCAGCAGAATCCACTTCACTCTACCAGAACTGTATTGGTTCTACAGTGTTACAAGGAGAAAAAAGTAACACAAAAATAAAACACACCCTTACTTCTGACACTGGAGCAAGATCTGACTGAATGTACATGAGGAGCAGATTTGCTGAGCATGAATTTTTACAGTCATTCTTCTAACATAAACTGCACTTCAAAGAATGTTGTGCATGCACAGGGGAGACCAGGCACCGAGCAGCCAAATCCTCTCCGTGCTTCCGAACCATAGAACTGCTTTGAAAATTCTCCTTTTTTAATTTAGGTTTCTCCTTCCTCCCTCAAGCTTTAATCTCAAGCCACATTGGAACATGTGAATATCAAGAGGCTGGTGATAGTGACGTACAGAATCTCCTTTTCCGCTTTACTTTTAGTATAAAAAGTACTAGAAATAGGCAAAAGATGCCCAAGACAGAGGGATGACAAGACTTTCAAAAATGGGAGCCTAAAGTTATGCTCGTCTGTCCATGCTGAGACACCTAAATAAATGTGGACATAGGAGCACAACTTCTGGGGCTTATTTTCAAAAGTCTTAGTCCGACTGTCGAAGTAAAGAATGAGCACCCTGGGTGAAGCTGCCACCCTCCAAACGCTGGATATGAAGCCTTGCTGCGAACTGCCCTGACTCTGGAGCAAGAGGATCGGTCTTTAAAATATCTCCTCTCACCTGAAGTTCAGATTTTAAACACTTCCCGCTATTAAGCCTATCTGACCACCAACGTTCCCTTTTCTGAATCACATGGTCACAGAAGCTATGCAGTGTTTCCTAAGCGAAACTATCTTTGAAACTATCACTGGACTATTAGTATAATCTCCTTGTGAATTATGTTTTATCATAGGGAAGCATGGGAATCACATGACATCCTCCATGTGATTAATTACATAAAGCGTAGGTCTAAAATATTTCGATTAGTTCCAAAAACTAAGTATCAAATAGGCTAGAGGTCAGCACTTTGACTATGATAAAAAATACCTAGCTTTCATTCTGCAAGCTTCTTTCTTTCACCTGTATATTCCAAATTGACCACTGACTATACAAATAATAATTCAAAGAAAATTGTGAAGGGTCATGAGAGCTTGCAGGTTTCTACAAAGTGGAATGGTATAACCATAGAATTAAAATATAAGCATTGGTAACACTGCTTCTTGTGCATGTACATACTAGTTAAGTGATCAATGGGATTGATGAGATTCATTAACATATACTTTATAATGAACTCTTTGTTCTTCCACAAAGCTGTAACAGAACAGTACAATAAAAAGGACAATTGACCAAACCAGACACCTAGCTGGCCTAGGTAACCAATCTCCCTCATCTTGAAACTCACTCTGTTTTCCTTTTCAGAAAAAAATTAACATGGTCTGGTTTCCTTTTTATAGGTGACTAAAAACATTAAAATTGGCTGGTAAACATATACGTGATTAGTACTGGATCATTTGCCTGGATTCTAAAGAGGCAATACACATCTTGGCCCGTATGTTTCAGACAGTGCTCTTTTCTTGCAGCACATGAACCACCTAAATCTTCAACAATTCAGCAGTTGCAGAAAGTCTGCACACAACCCCTTTGTGTTACGGCCATTCTTTTGAGTGAAGCATTGGGCATCTTACATGGAGGGTTTTCAATGGCATTGGGAGACAGAGGACCATATATAGATGGTGAATAGCAAATAAGGTCTCAAGCAGGTCTGAGAGCGGTACTCGGGCACAAAACTGTTAAATGTGTTTACATCGATTGTACTTCTCTATGAACGCTTCAGGTCTTAAAGAGGGACTTTCATACTAGAGAAAACTTATCAGACTAACTTAAATCCTGCACCTTTCTCAAGTTGTTCACAGTGTTTAAACTGGGAAGAAAAAGTGCTTGTCCCCCCACCCCTAAAAGTGATGATATACTCCAACGTTCTCTCCACATGCTGCAGTGAGGGTATGGCATAAATCACCTACCCTCCCATCCATTTCAGAGCTATTCTTCCATAATTCTTACCTATGTTTGCTGGTTACAGTATTTATTAAATGCAAAGATTTTACACTCAACAGCCCATGTTCTCCTGGAGTGAACTCATAAGACTATATTCATGATCACACAATATATCAATGATAATGTATTCATAGCACAATGTATTAATGATACCATAAACAGAGTGATATCAGAAGCACAGTAATCAGACTTCACTTCAGGTTCTAGAAGGAGAATCTGGGCTGTGAGGGAGGAAATTTTTAATGAAACACCCAATAAACCATCTTCAGTAATATCAAAACATACAAATACTGACCCAATTACATTTCTCACCCTTGTTTTTCAAATTTGCTTCAGTGTGAAAGTCTCTCTTTAAAGCATCCACAGGGTTTGCTTTTACAAACCTTTGTATAAAACCAATGTTTTATCCATTATGTTTGTACCAAGGATGACATGTTACACACTAAGTCAAAAGGTAAAACTTGAAGAATGTCATATTAAAATATTTAAAAAAATATAAAAAATCAGTGACCTGATGGCTCTGCTGGTCACGACCATACAGGCATCAGGATTAAATTCAGTATCTCAGTCTGGGCTCATGAAGGCTTGGAGCACTGGCTGGGGGATTGTTTATAAACCTCAGAATTTCACTTAGACTGCCCTGGTATGTTAAGTGTCTCACTGCATCTCATATGCCTTATTGATGAACTTCGGTCAATAAAGGTGTAACCTTCTTCCTGATATCTGGGGCAATATGAATTCTTTTTCAATGCTAATGAGCAACCAGTTGCTCAGTCCACAGCTGCCAAATTTTGGTGATTGTGACAATGAGCGAAATTAACATACATGTGTCAGGAAGTAGGTGCAGAGTTTCTCTTCTTTTGCTTTCACTTCCACCATATTGTGAATCAATTCCCACTACAGTAGTTGAACTCTGTCTTGTAATACGAGTGCGTAGCCTCATAGTTACCCTACCATAACAATGCTACCTATGCATACTATACCAACGCTGATTCAAGTATCAGCCAAGTAAGGTATCTATATGAGGCAGACTCAGACATACCCCAAAGCCACCTGCTTGATGACCCCTTTCGTGGTTCATAGTTCATACAATTCATTACTACCCCTGGGTTCTGTGTTTGAAAATCCCAACTCCTAGTATCAAGTAGTTAAGAACATCACTGTCTCAGAGTGAGACTCCTAAGCGTCCTGACCAATATTAACTTACACTTTCTCTATGCCACCATTGTAGTTTTAATTCGATGTAAGTTAAAAATAAAAAAATACTCCAACAAACCAAAACTTAGTTAGAATTTTCACGTGTATTATGCAGGTTACAATTGTGCAATGGCCAAATATTAGTAAACTCATAGCTAATTGTAAATTGAACTCTGGAAAAATAATGACAGATACTCCAAGACATGTACCACCATTACCGTGCCCCTTCATCCATGGGGACAGTAGGAACAGATAGAAATAAAATAACTGTCTCAAACAACAAATCTAAGCTTATGTTAATATTCCAAATGTCTTTGCCCCAAGTTTTATCTTTTGTAAGATTCAGTTTCACTCGATATGACTGAGATCCCAAAGTACACTGTGGTTTATGGTAAATTTATAACTAGCGCTGGTGATCCTGCATCACCCAGGCTGGCTTGCTTTCTGGCCACACCGCAAACTACAGGTTAGTATATTTTATCCCTGGTCTTGTGAAAGCATATAGTATGAGAGTATTTATGTTTAGAAGACAAACATACATACTTATGCTCAAAAATTCAACTATGACTAAGTATTCTCATCTAGATTTCAATGTATTTTTAACAAAATAAATATCCAGGCTTTTCTTTTTGGACATTTTGCTTTCCCACTCTGAATGAATTTCCGGATATATTCTTGGGTTTAAAAAGGCCATGGTTTTACTTTGCAAACATGAAGATGAAGGGACACTTGAAGCTTCAGCACCAGAAGAAAAACGGGGAGGAGTGCAGAGAGTAGCTCCATTTGAAAACACAGAGCTATAACAATTATTGTTCTGGTTTGAGACAAGTAGCTCAGAAATCCTTTTTTTTTTTTTCTATGTAGTCTTACTGTTATTGTCATTAAGGTGATTTCCTATGCTGGATCACACCTTCAATGTCTCCGATCTTATATCGTTTGTAATCCTGCAAAGCAGTAAAACAAGCCACTTCACTAAAAAGACTGGAGAGGTTAGAATTCTTGTAATCTCTCATCAAATGTTAATTCAGTCCATCTTGCTGGTAACAGGAAAGCTTTGCCTTTTTCTTTAAGCCAGGCGTCTCACCGTCTACTATGCTTGGTGGGGGGTTTGTGTGCGCGCGTATGTGTTTTTTTAGGGTTAGCTTTTGACCTAAAGTTTTATTTTGTTCATTAGCTCAAACCAAGGAGGGGCACAGTAAATGCTAACAGATTAAGCCGAATAGCCAGCTCTGACATTACCACTTTGGCCTCCCTATCCCTGCCTCCACACAAATCTCTCTCTCTCCTTTTGTTGCTGCTCTTTTCTGATGTGTAATCTCTGGTGCTGTGGAAGTTCACTCTGATGACAGAAGAAAAACGTAGCTGATTTCCTTTGATTCTTGCTTCCATAGGAAGCAGATACCTGGCAGATTTGCAAGAGCATGACAAATCAGCTGTGAAAGTTCTGCACTGTTGTCTGTTTCTGTGAGAGTCGCAGAAGCTCCTCTCTAATTGCTTTTATGAGAGATGCCGAGGAATGACCAGTTTGGAGGTCCTCATTGGAACTGGTGGTGTAGCAGAGCCCCTGTCCCTGAAGGCTGCTGTGTGGAAGATGAGCAGGTGGTGCTGAGGGCTGTCTGGCGGAAGTCCTCTGCATCTGGAATACTGGTGAGGAGGAATATTCTTGATGTCCATGCATATGTGTCTGCAAAATGAAAAAAAAAAAAAAAGTCATTGTTCTTTCTATTCAAAATAAGATGAGCTTGAGAAAGACAAAAGGCAGAGAAGAGCGAAAAAGCAGCATGGAGATGTGTCTAAGCCCTGCTAGTTCCCTACGTGAATGGGTGATTGTGCTTGTGAGGCACAAAACAAATAAGTTGCTGGCCTGTCCCAAGTTCAGGAATTCTCATATTCTCTTCTAAGGTTTACAAAAATCTGGCCATTCTCTAATGTCTGATGTTTAAATACAGGAAAGTTGGGAGAAAGTCACGAAGGACTGTCTTGTGGATAAGACACTGGACTTGGTTTAATTCCTCACTCTGCCATCAACTTCCTGTTGGTCCTTGGGCAAGTCACTTAATCTCTCTGCGCTTCAGTTCCCCATATTATCTGTAAAATGGGAATACGTCTACTTCCCTTTCCTCACTCATTTCTGTCTTGTCTATTCAGATTGAGCACTCTCCAGGGCAGGAAGTGTCACCATGTGTTTGGACACTGCTGAGACCAATAGGGTCCCAAATTAGTAAAAGCAGAACTAGAAGAAAGACTCAGCAAGAAAAATTTCATTTCCCACTTGTTTGAGCTACACAGTTTCAGAAACATTGCCTTGGTGTAGGGCTCAATTGTCCCAAATTAACAAGGAATACACTCTGTTTTTGTTCCCTAGTTCTATTTGCTTAAGAAGCAAAAGAGGGTCTTAGTTTAAGTGGGGGAGGAAAAGAGGGACCCTAGTGAAGAAAATTGTATTCATTAAGCAAAACAATAAATTTTCTGTAGTCTCTTTTAATTCTCATACTGTGAACGGGGAAATCTGGCAAAGCAGTTGAAACTAGTAATGGATGACAACTAAAGAATAGGCTTGGGATTTTTGTTAAAATGACAATCTTGAAATCACAGTCATCCCCATAATATGTAGGATGCTATCTTGCACAACTCATGTACAGTGCAGCTGGGTTTTCTGGGAAAAGGAGCTTTGATGGAAAATGAAAGGATTTATGCTGGATAATGTACAGCTTTTTTTGTTTTGTTTTGTTATAAGTGGTATCCCATCTTGCTTGTGAGAAAGAAACAATTTCAGTTATTGGAAAGAAATGAATTGCTGCTCTGATTTTTCAAAATAGAGGCATCCCGGCCAAATGCACTCAAATAATTCTTACCTGCAGTCTTTGGTTAGCAGACCTGACAGGTAGTCTAATTCTATATTGAAGAGGAACAGGGTTCTATGGTCCCAATTGAAAAAAGCAAACAAACTCCATTTGACACTGAGGTTTTACTAGCAAATTAAGCTATTTTCAGAGTACATTAACATTAGAAGTCACTATACGATTCAGCTTCTTATCTAGTAAAACACAGTCAATCAATACGGCAGGAATGGTTTCTTGGTGGAAGTAAAAGAGAATGTTTGCTGACTGTGGTTGTTGATCGTTTTGGTTTAAAAGTTGCCTCGATGGTTTTTAATATCTTATTAAAAAACATAAGTGGCTACTGTTGGGCTCTCATAGCTGATATCCAAATCTGAGGCTATAAAAACTGACACACACTAGCTCACAATGCCACCAATAAGATGGATTATGACAACCAGTTGAAGATGGTCTACCAGTAAAAAGGCACAAGGATTTGTGCAAGTAGTTTTAGTCTATTATTTTTCCCCTTTCTTATCAAAACAAAGATGTTTTCTACCTTGCAGATACGTATCAAAGTAACATGTGCTGCTATTAAGTGTTTACCCTACTTCACTGATGCTTTCTCAGTGAGAATTCTTTCCTCCTTCATAATACGCTCTATTTTGACACAGAAAGAGTGACAGTGATGGCTGTATTTTTGAGTGTAGTATTTTACTGTTTCCGAAAAGAAATATTATAACTTGTTCTAGCTATCCAAATCCCTCTGAAGTCAATGGAAAGCCTCCCACTGACTTCAAAGGAGTCTGGATCAAGCCTTCTTGGATTAATTTAGTGGAAGGGTAGGGTGAAGTGTAGTGACCTGCTTGTTGATTTTGGGTCAGGAAGCAAGATTGAAGACTCATAGCTTAGCATATTCCAGAGAAAATCTGAGAGTGGAGAATGTGGGAAGCAGAGGTAAGAATCCTGTAAGGTAATAGCGTCCATCACAGGAACACGAAAAAATCAGAACCCACCTGTGTCAACTAGGGAAGAAAATATTCTAGTTCTAACCTTCCTAACTGTGGCGTATAATGTCAGAAATGTGTGTTCATATGAGAGAGAGTGAGCAAGCGAGAGAGAGAGCTGGAAGAATGTTGGTGAAAGGGTCCCAAGCATCCAGGAAACATGACACCTGAAGAACGTGATCGTAACAAGAAAACTTTTTAGATGTCCAGATGTCATCTTTCCAAAGAGGAGAATTGCAAAGATCTGAACTAGTGAAAGACATCAGTCTGTGAAGATACAATAGAAAAAACTTCCTTTCTGTTACAGGGAACGGTCAGATTAGGGCACGGATTTAGCATTTTTTTCTCTTTTTCCATTTAATTACCCTTTGTAAGAAGGAGGGAAAGAACGACTGCCCCACTAGAGAGGCAGAATAGGCATTCAGGTGGGCTCTGTGACAAGCAACAGAACCTATGTTCTGTAGTCAATGTTATAATCTGCACATTTTTTTTTTAGCAAACTGAGAAAAACTCATAAGCATTTGCATACAAACTGTAGCAATCAGAAAGGAAAAAGAGCAGAGAACATAAATAAATTGCTACTACAGTTGACTAAAGGAAAGGATGTTTGCTGAAACCACATTAGAGCGATGCGTGCCTATTTGAAATGGCAACAAGAGCTGGTAACTGAAAATAAGGGCAATAAAATCCTTTGAAATGGGTCCAGAAGCCTTGAAATGCTCACTAGCCACCCAGACAACTGATGGGCGAAAATGAAGAGACTGTCTATCAAAGAAAAAATAATGTAATGAAATGTATGACAATACAGAGATAACACTGGAAGAGTGTATATGATAGGTATTGATGTCTGAAAAAACAATTGTTTACTTAGCATCTTGCAAAATGGGGCTCTGATCCTGACTGGAGTCTGAGCAATACAGTAATACAAGTAATAAAATAATAATAATGATATAATATTCCATATGCACTTGAGAAAAAAGCCCTAAAGACCATAAAACTAAAGCCACTTGAGCTGCCTGGGGAAAGGGCTGAAGGACAAATTATGAGAGCTGACAACCAACACTGAGCCTGAGATGCCACTCGAAGAGACACGCAACAGAGCCTGTAAGATCTCTCCGCTGAGTGCTGGTCTAGGTATAAATGAGCATTAGGATGCTTATCCTGACCAGAATAGAATGAGTTACTTGGATACCACATTCCTAAGCATGGAACAGGGGTACAGATATCTAGCTACATTAGGCAGACAGCTAACGAGGCCAAAATGGTCTATGTTTTGCATAGTATGAGGAGAGTCATATTTACGTCCTGTCTGATTTTCAGAGATGCTGAGTGGCCACAATTCCAACAGAAGTTAATAGGAAGTGCGCCACACCTCGGAGAAATCAGGCCCCAATCCTGTTTAATGTTGTTTTTGTTGAGCCTCTCAATATTTTTGTTAAATACACCTATTTTAAGACAATATGGATAGTGGGGATTGCTACTGGGGACAAATGCCGCTGGAAGTACACAAAGGGAGGAAATTCTCTTCCTCAGGGAGGGGACAAATTTGAACAGACGTGACAATTTGAGCGTGCGGCAGAAAGCCAGAGCATAAAGGGGTTATCTCCAAAAGGGTATTACGAGGAAGCTGGCATAGGCCAGTATGGGTAAAGGAATAGTTTAAAGACCAAGTGCATGAAACGCTGGTGACAGGTATCCACATCTTTCCTGAGAAAGATAATACAGTAGCCGAAACATCACAATGCTTATGGTTTAATTGGAAATTCCATCTTCTGGAAGCAGTATTTTGTCAAATCATGGTGCCTGTCCGGTAGTATAGGTAAACGAACAGATATGTTGTTGACAGGTGAAAGGAAAACACCTTGTCCAGAAATATCTCTACTGCTGTACACGACACGTCTAATGGTACATTCAGTACCCAGATTCTCTGCTCATATGAACTGGCGCAGCTCCATAGAAGTAATTGAGTTGTGCCAATGCATGCCAGCAGAGAACCTGGGCCATTTACTTCAGTGCTTTCTACCTGCAATTATCTCAAATTAAAGAAGTGCATGGAAAGCAGACTCGACCTCTGCTGGAGCTCCGGGGTAGAAGTGGTGAACTATAACCAGAACACAGTGGTTAAAGGCCTTGAGTGAGGAAGCGGTTAGGGAAGAATGGGTGGAAGAGGTTAGAGAAGCGGAGGTGAAAGAATAGCAAGCAAGACAGGTTAGAAGAGCTAGTGAAGGTTGGAAGAGTAAGTGGAGGTCGTCAGAAAAAGCAAGTGAAAGAATCATCGGAAGAAATTCCAAACAGCAACGAAGGCGAAAACTGAACATATCACTGCTTCAGAAACTATTTAAATGTGAAACACAGTACTCACTGCATCTCTCCTAGCATATTCATCCTCTCCACGATACTGGGGCCACCCTGGTCCCCCCGGCTGGCCATGCCCTGCTCTGACTGAGGCAATCTCCACTTGTTGGGCTCCGGTTCTGCTAGCAATTCCCACCTGAGTGAGGTGCTGTATCTGAGAACCTTAAAAGCAAATATTGGTTTTTCATCTTTATATACAGTAAGCTTGCAGGGCAGACAAATGACAAAAAGCTAACATAAATTTTTGGTGGGGGTTGGGAGGCAGGAAGAAAAAGAAGCTTAGTTTTTGTTTAACACACTAATCAGGATCAGCAGAGAGAAGAATACCAATGCAGACTGGAGAAAGGGAAAACCATTTTACTTTGGTGCAGCTCACTCAAAATTCGGTATTTTTCATTACCTTTCATTGATAACAAACATTGCACATCAGACACTGAATGTACACCTCAGGTGTATGCCAGTCATTAAAACAAAGACTATAGAAAGCCCTTACAATTTTAAATGCTAGTGATCTGGCAGCAAGGAGGAGACATTTGCTATTGCACCAACAAACCAGCAAGACCCTAAGTCTGCACACTGTTCTCTGTTCCATCCCTCAGAGCCACAACATGAATGGCTATCCCTGAATATGGTTTTTCCTGCTTTAGTTTGTGCTTAAAGATTAAACAGTACTGACATTAACCAACGGGAAGGACAGTACACAGCTTACTTCCTTTATTAACTCAGCCTGGAACCTAAATCCACTCCTTTCCCACTGCTTTCTACTGAATGCCAGGAGAGCCACTAACATTAATTACAAGAGAGACATTTAGCAACATACCAACTTTACTTTTCCCCAAATTTTCTCTTATGATGGGACAAAATTTTTCTGTAAATACAGTAGGAGCGAAATAACTTTAAAGATCTGCAGATGCCTCATTGAAAACTCTGAAAAACAGGAGTTGTCGATACTCAGTGACTGTGTTGTGTGGGCGGGGGGTAGGGGTGGGCACATAGACAAGTTGCCTAACTTACATGTAATATTTACTTTACTCTTCTTTCCTTAAAATAAATTTAAAAAAATTAATAAAACTGATATTTAGTTGTTATTGTATCTTCCTTAATTGAAGGATAAAAACTGGTTATTTGAGTTCACCAGAAACAAAAAACCCACAGCTGATCAACCATAGACGCTTAAGGAACAGTATACGTAATATATTAAATCATCTATGAAAGAGTGAACCTCTTCACCACCGTCACTTTGCACAATTATAGGCAGAGGACAGCTGCAGGTCAAAAGTTAATTCTCTGGACTACAACATGGACATGTCTAATTTAGAAATCCTTGAGCACACCTATATTTTCAGTATTTTAATTCCCTCTCTTTTGGAAGAAAGTTAATGGAGACATTTACATGAGAACAGCATCTTAAGAGTTCATCAGCTCCTGCCACTTAAACCCAATGTGAAGTTAGAACCTTGTTTGCTATGGAAATTGTCTCACAGTCCGGGAAGATGATTTCATGTGGTAAAGCAGAAAATAGATAGACTCTTCAGATACTGTTTTTATGCAAATGTCCCTAGTAAGAAAAAAGAAAAAAAAATGCAGGGTAAATAGGCAAAATGTTTCTGAATGGAATGTTTTCTCCAGAAGGCATCAGTTACTGTTTAATTTACCACAAAGGACATACCGCGGTCACCTGTGAAATGTCAACATTCACTGAACTCTTTTTGAAATGCTGAAGTTATTTCCTATGGTAAGGCTATCTTTTCACTACCAAAAAAAAAGGGGGAGTTTAACCACAGGATAACTAATACACATTAACTATCCCACTGAGAAAGCCTAGTGGCACTGTAGTTTTTACCACGAGGCAGCGAGGCTCAGGCCTGGGTATAGTGATGACCTTGCGTTGCGAGCTAGCAGTAAAAACTTCAGTGCCCTGTCTCCACTAGAATTTTATACGGGGATAGCTAGCAATAGTTAGTTGGCAGTGAAAACAAAGCCTAAGTTTGGAGTGTACCATCTACGGTGACCAGATGTTGTCCCGATTTTATAAGGACTGTCCCGATATTAGAGGCTCTCTCTTACACCAGACCCTATCACCCCCCACCCCAATTTTTCACACTTGCTATCTGGTCACCGTAGTACCACCTGATGGCAAATGATGGCTTTTAATAGGGACAACTATATATGGAACATATTTGAAAAAGGTGTAATATTCCAGTGCATGTTCAGTATAAACCAAAATTACCTGCAGTGCTTCCAACTGGTCGTGGCCGTGCCACCGATGGCATTTCTTCTGGGTATAGCCCTCTGGAGGAATACTGAACATCGGATTGTTGCTGGTCTGGGTGCATTAACTCTGCAGGCTGAAGGAAACCCGGGCCAAAACTTTGCCTGTTGGCAGAGCAACATAAGATCACACTGACTAACCTTTCCACTGTGAAAACATTTACACTTGTCCCTTATACTTAACCCTATTATGATCACTCATGCATATTTTTACCATAGCTGCTACAAAAAGAATTCAACTTCATTACCACAATCCTCTTTCGTAACATGCACTTCATAAGAAAAGGCTTGTACAAAGACTAACACAGGAGTTTAAACCCAAGTATTTTCATAGATTGGAGTGGCTTCAATGCACTGAGAAGGGTTTGAAAAAAAGACAGATTTACTTTTCCGCTGAGGAAAACCATCATCGCTACTACCTCAAAGCGACCACAGAACAGGAGATAGTCAAATTCACTACTAACGTAAGCAGGTTCATCTAACTTCACTGACTTCAGTAGAAATGCACCTGCTTAATTTAGGGACCCAAAAACTGCACTGACAAATGTTGCTGAGTCAGGGGCTTGGATCTAAATCAACAGCAAAATGTAACGTGTATTTGGCAAACAAAGATACCATTTGGTTTATGGGTACTTCCCTAAGCATCATGAATATTTGCTGTGTTGAGATCTATAAATTTTCAAGCAGCCTGTGATGATATGAGATACATCGCACCATGTCATGTTGTGTCGTGACACAGGTCAAGAGGAGGTACGCTGACATCCCTATTTCCTGCAGTGCAATTATTCAAAGGCAGTCTCCACCAATGGTGATAATCATAATTCCACGATTGTCTGCTTACCAAGGGTAGTCTAAGGTGACTTAGCATTAATAAAATGTGTCAGATTGACAGCACTGGAGAGGAAAGCCTATTCACGGAACTGTTACACCAATGTGCCTCACCCTGCGCTGGAGAGATCACATTTAAGGATTACCTTGATCTCCACTGTCTATCAAACTCTCAGTTTCTCTGCTGAGTGTGTCAACATGGTGCCAATCAGTGCTCATTGTGAGAGTGCTCTCTGTGACATGGACTCCCATTTAACTATACCCTCGATCCTGCAATGAACTCTGCAGGAACTCATGTGCCCACAGTGCCCAGATTGAGCATCTTACAGGACTGGGGCCCAAGTTCCTATACTATGCTCATCACCCTGGTGTCTGAGCAGCTTTTTCCTAGGAATTGGGCTATTTACTCTCCCTAGGTTTTTATTCCACTCATTAACATGGACCACTAAACAGTCATCTGATTGTATTTCACTCAAGCCACTGCTGACCTGGGGGGCGTTTGTACCAGTGACCTACATACGAAAGGCTCAGAGGACTGCATGACTCAGAAAGTTGGTAATGGGATGTGGAACCTAATACAGAGAAATCAGTAATTTAAAATACAATATATTAGTCATTTAGGATACAGCCTAAAGAAAAGAGTTCGGAAGGGTTCAAGAGTAACATTTTTAGTTTGGAACAGTCACACTCTCCCTATCTCCCATGAACTTGTTCCCAATTATCTCCTCAGCAGCTCCATCGAAGTGATTTGGAACCAGCTTTCCAAGCACCACGGGATGTTAAAATGAATGTCTGAAAGGGGTTTAACGATGTCTATTTGGGGTTATCATCTGGGGACCAGTAAGAGTGCAATAGTGAGAGAAGCACTCATACGGTATTTCATGCCTACAGCATCAAATTGGAACCTTACAATCAATAATCTATTAGAATCATTTTAGATGTTTCTTTTCAAAGGAAATATCCTCCCAATATTACGGCTGAGGGTGTTATTTTTGTGCAAAATTATTTTTTGAGTGGGGGGCACAAGTATTTCCATTACTGTTGCTCTTTCTGTAGATGAAAGGAGTTCATGGTTAACAGTTCTCCTCAAGCCTCTCATTATAATAAATGATGGTTTTAGCTACTCTTTACCACTAGTCAGAGATCCATGACAGATGATGCAAAATGGATACCTGGGTCATTACCTAGCTATTGCTGGTCCAAATTTGGACCAGACAGACTTTCCAGTCTTGGCTTCTATCTTCCAGACCAGCCTTCCACCTGGCCTCTCTAGTTTCAATGGAAAGGTTTCACTTCTAGCAAATTTAATTGGAAAAAAATCCCTTTGCAAATCAATTTTTAGATTTAGACATTCTCAGTATGCTCAAGCTCAGTGTATGCCTATTGCACGATGCAACATTCATACCATGATAATGGCTGCTAAGCCCCAGTATCGGCACAGTAGGTAAGTGACCTAACTTTATACGTTTTGCCTTTCTGCCCAGGTTGGTTCCAACCCATTAAATATGTGGATTGCATTAGTATAGAGAAAAAGGAACAATCTGGTTTCCCAATCACTGTTCCATGCATTGGCTATTTAAGCCACTGGACTGTGACGTTAATAATGTCTGCCTACTGCAGTGACTTCAAAACACTCCCCTTCCTATTTCTATAGCTTTCTGCATTGTTTCTAGCAGTTTCATTATCTTTGTCTTCAGGAAATGAGTGTAACCTTCTTTACTTGAATACATTACATTTCTTCCCTTCTCCAACACAATCTAAAATGAAGCAGCCATGGTATTTTATACTGTCTTCAAAGAAACCTTCCTGTGCAGGTCAATGAATTGCAGGTTGTTACTTTAACCCTCTGGCACTAGCAGGTCCTGGGTTTCCACCAATAACAACAACGGTGGTATTAATGTTTAACTTAAGGAAATTCAAATGGCCTGTGTCCAGGGGCTCATAGCCTTTTGAAAAAGTAATACACAGCGAAGGTACTGCCTTGTTCAAGGATTTGATAACTAGCTACAGAGCCTTCCACTATTAGGCCGCCTCTCTCTAAATCTGAGACCGGTTGAGAGTGAATGAAAATGGTTAATAATTGATGCCTAGTGGTGATCTACATACAGTGAGTTGGGGATCTCAGTACAGTTTCTAACATACTAGTGTCCCAATCACAAAAATCATCTTCTCATGTCGTGATTGGCCGTATCAGCCAAGACCTCAAAGAGCAAATGTGCATGGGGACTTAATTCCCCTCTCCTCTTCTCGAGGTGATCCTTTCAGTCTCAGTCCCATGGGCAGGGAAAAACCATCGATCCCCATTCTGCAGATAGCAGACTTCAGTGCCTAGAACTGTCAGCACAGCCCTGCTCCAAGAACTACATTCATTTAAAAATAAATAAAATAATGAAGCAATACATTATGTACACATCAGACCCCGACTTTCTCTTGGAGCTTTGTCCTGATGAGAATTTGTGCTCTGACATGTCTGTCTCCTAGGTTAGCAGGTGATCTTCCCTTTACTGGGGTAAGCTTTTGGAACTGTAACTTGCTCCCATTTGATATTGTATATTGAACATTTGTGGTTATATGGGAATTAAAGGGAAAGCCAAATAGTAAATTTGGAGGTGGGAGGGAAGGGAGGCATTTATCAGTTGTAAACTACAACGAATAATGTTTCCCTTATTTATCTACATAGATTGGGATGTTCTTACCTTCTTCTTCATATGAGACTACCACAGCAGGGCCAGAAGAGCCTACGGAGATAGATCCCCACTGATTTTACAGAGGTGGGCCTGCTACCAGGCCTTCTCTGAGAGGCCCTATTTGCTCTGGAATTTACTCCCACTTGTCCCAAAATAAGCTGAATCTCAATCTATAGGGCATGAAGGGAAGACCATTTATTTACAGGGCTTTTCAAGAGGGCGGAGAGAATGGGCAAGAGGGAGCCTTTGGGTGGAGTGAAGTACATTTGGTTGCTCTGATTTACTGGTTAGTTAATTTAATTTCTTTTATTATTAACATCTGACATTTGAGCATGGCCAGTGTTCCGCTATTCATTCAGCATCTGGCACAAACCTTAATCTCCCTTAACTACCACAGTGCTTTTCCATCTAGCAGAGACTGCAAAGTATGAGCTTCCTGTAGCCCGCTGCTGCACCATGAGCAGAGCACTGAGAGATACGGAAGGGATCATACAGTTCCTTCCATACTTCTCTTCAAGCACGTGTCCTCAGAATATAGCTAACTTCCCAACTCTGGCATGAGAACTGCAGGGATGTATCCATGAAGTTCTCAAAGGACTGGCGCTTATATCTCCATTTGCCCAATAAAATAAAGAGTTAACAAGCATGGTTAACCATTGCATATGTTTAACCATTGCAAAAGTGGCTGCCCACCAACAAAGAAAGCGATCTCTCATTGGCATACAGCTTATACATTTTATATGTATGAAACAAAGACAGGAGAAGCAACTTGGTGCAAAGGAGAGTGCACTGGACTGGTATGCAGGCCACCTGAGCTCTATTCTGGGCTCCACCGCTTTGTGCTCCGTTTACCCTCACATCCTTTGTCTGTCTTGTCTGTTTAGAATGTAAGCTCATTGGGACAGAGACTGTTTCTTAATATGTGTTTATACCAAAAGTGTCAAATCTACTCAGAGGAGAGAGTTTAATTACATGTTTAATTATGGTCCATGGCAGGGTTATATATTAAGGACTTCATGTTCTCCTCAATCCACAGTGCATCTCTCATTGACATCAGTGAGAGAGGTTTGCACAGAGATTAAGGGAAAGATACAGACAGTCTCTATGTAGTAACTAAACTTTTATTTATTAGTTATTTACTCAGCAACTTTTTGACATATTCAGCATCGTTCATTGCGATACTCAGCTTCCCTTTGGGCCGATGCTACTCCTGCCCTGTGCTTTTCTTCCTTCCCCTCCCTCCCTCTTAAGTCTCTTCCGTTCTTCCCTCTGCACTTCCCTCCCTGGAACTCCCAACTCCCACCCTCTTTCCTGTTCCATCTATTAAAATGATCAGCAATGGAACAGTTAACGTTGACAATGACATTTCTTCATCACTGGGCTTTAGAAATGCTACTCCAATGAGATTAACAGGGTACACATGTTTGAGTCATTGTTTCAGGCTCTCTGCAGACTCTGGCACTCAATGGTGCTCCACTCACATTTGGAAGGTTATCTTTGCAGCCATGAAGGCTGGAAATTTATTGTCTTTTAATTAAATTAAATACTACATAATCTGAGTATGTCATGTTGGCCACATAAATACTTTATGCAGGCTGTATCTGGCCTGTGGGCCATCTGTTTGACACCCTGAGTTTGCACAGTACCTAACAGAGTAGGTCTCAATCTCAGTAGGGCCTCTTGGAGCTAATGTAATATTAATAATAATTATAATTCCATGAACAAAAAGGTACCTCTGCAGCAGACCCGGCGCTGTTGGAGGAGTCATTCCAAATTCCACGTATCTCTGTTGGAAATAAATGAATAAAAATAAAATCAATAAACTGGAAATTTCAGCCAGTCTTTTACAGCTTGAATGAGACCCAATTGCCAGGCCTATGTGTGAGCTGACTGCAAGTTTACGGACAAAGATTTACAAACATTTTTTGTTAAGTGGCACAAGAAGACCTGGGAATTGCAGCTCCAACAGGATAACTAGCTCTTCTATGTTTGCCCAAGCTCCTTATGTGGCTTACCCACCTTTTGAAAATATGTTCTCTGACTTGCAGCTCAAGGCCCCCTTCAATGTGTATTTCATATAAATTTTATGAAAAACTGCGCTTTTATTTTACCTTGTGTGAGTGGGGGGAGCCAATGGCACACAGGTAGTGCTAGATTTTAATTTATCCCTGCCTAAAATGATGTATTTTGTACAACAGACTTCCAACTCTATTTACAATTTCATACAGGAGCATAGTCTAATGGTTAGAGCAGGGGAGGTGGACTCAGGATGTCCTGGTCTCAAATGTCCTGGTGGAAAACTCTAGCTAAATACTTAGAACTTTATCTTTACGGGCTCTAAATAGGTGCTAAGCTAAAACAGACTTCAGAAAAGAAATATTATTAAATTTAAATACCAAGACTGATCTGTGAAAGATCACAACTGAGTGGACCAGGAAAGCATTCTCTTAAAAGAGAACTCCTATCTGCCTCCGAAGGAGAAAAAACGGTTCACAGGGTGGTATAAATAGTGAGTCCCCCATTTTGTAACTTCACATCACGGACACCTGATTCCAGTAATTGCTCAATATCCATGATGAACCCTGATCTAAAAGGTATAACAATAGTGACCACGGCTCAACTGGTCCTAACACCCTGCCCAGAAAAGCCTTTCAAGATGTATCACTCACACTAAATGGGTTGTTTACTGCCTGGGCTGGACCATATGGTGATCCCCACTGGGGGCATGTGGTTCCCCTCCCTGCTCGAGCAGGAGTGTTGTTTACCGGCTGTCCCGCAGAGACCCCAGGTGACGTGATGGCAGTGGAACTGGCTGCTTGGCTACTGGGAGCCACCAGGGCAAAGGCATCATCCAAGAGAGAGTGCATAGTCTGCCGGGCCTCTTCAATGGATGGCTGTGGAGGGATGTACTGAGAGGCTGGGTGGGGAGGCAAGCCTGGGTACTTCCCGAGATCAAGAGAAGAAGGTGTCTGTGATTCTGCAGGCAGGTCAGGATCGGACTACAGAGAAGACAGAGAATGGAAGCAGGAGTCAGACAGACTTTTACATACACAGTTTCAAGTCACAGTGACATTTAACTTCTGAACAAGGATTAGAACAAGCTGGAAGCAACAGAGGAGAGAGACCTGGGTGTGTGGATTGATCACAGGATGACTATTAGCCACCAGTGGGATGCAGCTGTGAAAAAGGCGAGGCATTTCCAGTAGAGATAGAGAAGTATTAATGCCACTGTACGAGGCACTGGTGAGACCTCATCTGGAATACGGTGTACAATTTTGGTCACCCATGTTCAAGAAAGATGAACTCAAACTGGAGCAGATGCAGAAAAGGGCTACTGGTGTGATCATGAGAGAATGGACAGCCTATCTTATGAGAGCAGACCGGAAGAGCTTGGCTTGTTTATCCTAGCAAAAAGAAGGCTGATAGGGGATATGATTGCTTTCTATAAATACATTGGGGGAGGGGTAAATATCAGGGAGGGTGAGGAGCTATTTAAGCTACAGGACAGTGTTGACAGAACAACAAATGGGTTGAACTGACTCCGAACAAATTCAGGCTGGAAATCAGAAGAAGGCTTCTAACCATCAGAGGGGAGAGGTTCTTGAACTGCCTCCCAATAGGAGTTGTGCAGGCAAACAACACGAGAGAACAGCACAAATTGATCGATGCGACTCTATGATAGCGTTGCTGGTGATGGTAGGCGGCAGGACTCATTTCTGGTTTATGTCTGATGTTCCTAAAAGCTCATGCTTCAGAGCTTTAGCCGGCCACCTGCAGGCATCAGGAAGAGATTTCCTCCCTCCGCCCCACAAGAATTTGGTGTGTGTGGGGGGTCTCCTTCTTTCGAAGCATCATCAGGGGTGGCCATAGCTGTAAATGAGACCCTGGACGGGGTGGACCAGTGCTCTGAGGTGGCATCGAGCATTCTGTCTCTCAGGCGCTTGCTGGCTAGTTCTTGCTCACCTGTTTAGGGTCTAACTGATCGCCATATATGTGGTCAGGAAGGAATTTTCCCCCAAGTCAGATTGGCAGTGGCCTTAGGGTTTTTGCCTTCCTTTGCAGCATGTGGGGGTGGGTCACTTGCCAGGATTATCTGGGTACATCTCACTTAATCATTTCCCTGTCATTGCGGGGGCCTCAGGCACTGGTGCACCTCAGTCCCTCCTATTCTCTCCTTGCAGCATAACAATCTAATCTCCTGGGGGCTGTAACACTTTGGTCTCAATTCGGTTGTTGAGTTTAGTGTGCGGGGTCATGTTGGTGGCCTGTGACATACAGGAGGTCAGACTAGATGATCTGGTGGTGCCTTCTATCCTTAAATCTTATGACCACCAAAACCAAGTTGAGATATAATGCATCTGTGAGAGTGCCAGACAAAACCTGCCCAATTCTTCTACCAGAGAGTCATTTTAGTTCAAATGTTTCAGCCAGTTTAAGTTCCCTCACTATGATACTAGGTGGGGAGCAGCGTACCACCCGATAGAGACCTAGCTGCACTAGAATGATGTGGCTTGTAAATATATGTGTATCTGAAATCACATAGTGAATGCCGACTTAGCTAGAAGATGACAGTCTGAGCTCTCTCTCTCTAAATCAGCGGTGGGCAAACTTTTTGGCCCGAGGGCCACATCTGGGTATGGAAATTGTATGGCGGGCCATGAATGCTCATGGTTCCCGGCCAATGGGAGCTGCAGGGGCTGTGTTGGGGCAGCGTGTGGAGCCCTCTGGCTGCCCCACGCACAGGAGCCTGAGAGGAACATGCCACTGCTTCCGGGAGACACAAGGAGCCCCAGCACGTGCGGAGAAGGGCAAGCCCCGGACCCTGCTCCCAGTCAGGAGCTCAAGGGCTGGATTAAAACGTCTGAAGGGCCAGATGCGGCCCCCAGGCCGTAGTCTGCCCACCCCTGCTCTAAATGAAGTCTTTCTGAATCTTTGCAGCTCTACGGAGTGAGTTAAGTCTTTGTGTAACAACTGACCACGTTAGCCGAAATATGAAACAATTACGGCTATCCTGAGCAACACAGGACAGGAGCTATTCAACAGCTAAGCGGTTAGCTGTGAGGAAGCTGAACTGAAGTGCGTCTTAAAGAGATTCACAACAGTGCCCGGGGGCAGCAATTACCTGACAGCAGCCTGATGTAGCCAGCACAATTACTACATAGGGTCTTATCTCAGGAGCATATTGCTCCTCAGTAACAGGAAGTTACGCAGCTTTGCAGTAGCAGACTTATTGTGCCAGCTTCTTCTTGCCACTGCATGCCGGCTGCAGTGCCAACTATCAAGCCACACCCCTCTACTTCCCTGGGAGTTTAGAATGCTGAGGGCCAACTCTCCACAAGTCTCAATTAAATAGCTGCGGACTAGAATTCATTCCGATACAGGTGACATTAAAATAATCATTGCGCATGTTTTGAACGCCGATGAAGACCACAGAAAGAAACATTATGGTCCTTCACTACATTTTTTAAAATGGAAACGGTTTGAAACTGTCCAGAGGTTTTGAATGTTAGCAGCAGTCTGAGTGAAGACTGATTAGTGGCCAGAGTGTGTGTGCACCGTTCCAGAAAACAGAGTAAGTGCAGTTTATTACATGATATTATTAAACTTAAAAGTTCTTAGTTACTATTTTTAACATGGAAATGAAGCTAATTTTCTAGATACTGTCTGAGAATGATTTCAGTTATTTCTGCACTGATATCTAAGTTTAAAGAAAAGAAAATCTATCATTTAGGGACTTCAGTTTTTCACTACCTGAAAAACTACCATAAAATTTCCTATAACATTTGGGATTATTTAATCACCGGCAACGTGGACTAGAAGGTACTGAACTGACTATGCTCAAAGGATCCTGTAGCATACACACATTTTCATGTGATGGGTCTTTTCCAGAATTTATATTTTTGCTTCTAAAGTTGCTCATTGGAGAATCCTTTTTCCATTTCATAGCATTTCCTATGATTACTGTCCCTAATGGCCCCATTTCCAATTCTCATTATATAGTTTATTGGGACTGATAAAAATGCTTTTCAGTGCTTCTGTTCTGAAGGCCAAGCAACGCCAGCATGAGTGGAAAATTACAGGCTTTCACTATTTTACCCAAGCATTCTGCATAGGAGGTTCTTGACTCACTCAGTTTCATCCAAATGGAATTAGCATATAAAGTAGCCACTCAGAGCATACCAGGAAAATAGGAGATTCGCCTAAGCCACAGTTATCGTAAGAATTATCAGTGTATTCCTGTCATCTAAAAGACAAACATACAATATATGCAGAATTATTGACTCCTGGTGGTCTTTTGTATGTCCCATCACTGTCAGTGGTGATTAGCCTGTCCTTCTCAGCATCAATAGGGCTCCCATTTATCTGATGTCTCCGACGCTGCTTGGGAGAACGTTTTGCACGTGAACTAAAAAAGAAGAGAAATAAAAACCAAGAGAAAGTTCAGCGACTTTTGTCTTACTAGAACTTTTTAAAAGTTGGTGATTGTACTGTTTGTAATCTCAAGCTCTATGTGCTAGAAGGTATTCCAACACTCCTTAAAATATTTCTGCTTTGATATGTTGTGCTTCAGGACCCCACAAAGAGAGAGTTCTCTCCCAGCCACAAGTCCTGTTTTCCTGATTCCACACTTTGATGGCTCATGGGAAAGCATAATGGAAACACTGAGCAAGAAATACCATACTATACAAAACCAAGCCCCAAAGTGCCTCACAAAGTAGTGAGTAAGATGCAGTGACTGTACAGGCAAATCCAGCATCCGTTATGTGCTTCGCAATAGTTCCCATCTATGCAAGGACCCAATCCTGCTTTCATAAAGTCATTGGGAATTTTGCCAAACATTTTAATGGGCAAAGGATCAGGCCCTTAATACTGGACTGCAGTATCAGGATTGGGTCCTGATGCAGGATTTCAACCTAGAATTTTCTGACCCACAGGCAAGTATGCAACCAATTGAATCAAAATGGTGTGATACTCTTGACAAAAGGCTAATGAAGTGAAAGAAATTCTAGTTTAAACCACTAACATCAATCTCACCTATGGCACAGTTTAATAGCAAAATTCTCAGCCATGCCATCACTTCTCTATAATCTTCAAAATACTTCTCTCCTCACTTTCTATTCAAGGCAGCGCTATGGAACTACCTTTATTATTACTTTAAAAAGAACCATTATTCAAAGATTAACCTGTACATTAGAATCAGAGACAGGTTCTAAGCAGTTTGCCTCTATGGAAATACAAATGGTTTTTATAGCTGGTTATGGATTGTCCTCAGTTCTTCTGTGCACCCTTTCAGGTATGACCCCTTGCTGCCATGAACATTTCTGAGAGTCCTCAGGCAGGGGTCATCTCCTGTGAATATAGTGCAGTATCTCAGTCATATGTAATTCTACATGAAAACTGCCAGACACTTTATGTGGTAGATGGTCACAAAGAAACTTAATTATGTCATAAAGGAGGGATTTAAAACAAAAAGAGAGAAACGTACATTTGGTCATCCTTTGACAAAGCATCAACATACTTCTGAGAATGACCTTGGTGATGAGGATGCTATCACTACATACAGCCTGTGCGTGAGTGAACGAGAGTGTGCAATTTTGCTTTGGAAGACAATTTTTCTACCTTGGCTGGCACCTAGAATATTTAATTAGTTCATATATTCTTCCAGTCTCCTTCAATCACATTAGAGAGTATTGATTTACATTTCATATTTTTAGGATGTTTCAGAAATAAAACTACATAAAATGTAAATCAATACTCCCTAATGCAATTGAATGACAGAATCTGATAAACAGCCAATCCTATTAGTGCCTGGAATGGAATTTTGGGTGCCCAATTTGAGACACCCAGGATCTGATTTTTCAGAGTTCCTAGCATTATATAGCAGTCTGTATGTTCAGGGCAGTCTCACCATTGACTTCAGTTGAAGCTGCAACTGCTCTGCAATTCTGCAAATCAGACCCGAGGGTCTTAAGGTGGTCGCCCAGAAAATGAGGAACCGACCACCCGTGAAAAGTTTGGTTTAACCAACTCGTCCATCATCACATAGGAACTCTGTGCTCTATTGGACACAGACTCTACTGCCATTTCCCCCCAGTCTTGACATCTTTTGTCCTGTCACCATCCCACTCTTGTATCTTCCCACCCTGGCTCCTTGTTCCTGTCCTGTTTTCCTCAACTAGCAGGCTCCAGGTAGGCTCCACTCAGGCTTCTTATCCCAGTCCCAGTCTCATTGCCTCACAGATACTCAGTCGCCCTGTCCCAGTCTCACCCAGTCCATTCCCATTCTTCTTGCCAAGCCAGTCCCAGTTCCTCCCATCCCAGCTCAGTTTCCCTAACCCCCGATATTCCTCATTCCAGACCTGCAGCATTCTAAATGATGGCATTATGGAGCTGACAAAGTAACCATCAGATTGCAGGTTGGAGATTACCTGAGCTTTAAACTGATGTATGTAGGTCAGTTGAAGGAAAGACACAGTGGAGGAAAAGGTTTGTTTGTTCTCAGTGTGAAAGTGGTCCAGGCAGGACTGTTTTTAGGGAACCTGGAACTCAAGAGAAAGAGCCTCTGTGTCCATATACCCCACAGAAGACACAGAGCAGACACTGTCTTGAAATATAAGACCAGGAGGGAAGGTCTGTGAGATGGGTAAGTGCTGTGTGCATCTGGTTACCATGAAGGAATATGGAAGAAGGGATTTTATTGTCTGGTATTTGCAGAGTTTTAAAAATAAATTTGAACTTTTCTATATTTTATAATTAGTTTTCATGGTCTCTTGACTACATGTTTTTCTTTGTTTTGATATGAAAAAAGTATTCTTTGCCGTTTACTTTTTTTCTTATTCCTTAGTCTCTGTTAGTGCTCTTAGGTAAATTCAAATTTTGTTTCACCCTGGGTTTGTTACCTGTAATACTTAGTAAAAATTGTGGTGGTGGTGTGGGGTTAGTGTGTGATTAAGTAGTTCTGCTTCAGCCTGCTCCCAAAATTACATTGCATTTAACAATTACACTACAGGAATTAGACAGTTTCCAGGTGATCCTATGCAGCTACTAAACGAAAGAGTGTGCAAAAGTCGCAGCACAAACAATAAACATCTCCTTAAAAATGGCTTTGGTATGTTTGGTTCCGCTATTGAGAAACTGTCCATGAGAAACTGTTAAACACAAAAAACGCATGGCCTTCTGAACGCTGTTAAAAAAACCCAACAACCACCCAAAAAACCTCTGGCATGTATTGACTAGACCAAGACACCCCAAATAACCCCAACCCTTTCACCTCTCCAATCCAAACATTCCTTTGGGAACAAAATGATTCTAAGCTCTCCAAGTGCAGAAATACAGGCCTGACGTAGTTTGCAAGTCTGAACACTGATTCTAAAAGAGAATGAATCTTCCTCTGGCTCTCAGTCTGTACCTCTTCCTGGGTTCTATAAAAACAGTAGGCACGTTGCCCCCAGGGTCCAAGATCTTGTCAATCTGCATCTGCGCTTTGCGGTATATTCTATGCTGCTCTTTGGCATCAACAACAATCACATCATCCACAACTGGAAACTCATAGTGGCCTTTGCGCTTGGCTCGAAGACGGATCTTATTGCGGTGATGCTCGATCTCAGACTTATGCCTCAGAGCTGTTTGTATCTTAAAGGAAGAAAAAGAGAAAACCATGAGATACACTTTTGCAAATAGAGCCTGTTACTGCTGTGCAATAAAAAGGATAGCCAGAGCTAAAGCAAGCAATTTGAAACTGGCACACATGTCCTCCCTCAGTTATCTCGTCCTTTTGCAGGTAATAGACCGATAATCTCCCCACGCAGATGTGCTCTCAGACATGGTATAATCACTAACACAACAAGTGAAATTAGAGAGAAGTGGCAGAGTGTTAATAAAAGGCATGATGAATAACAAAAAGTCCTGCCAGTTGCTGTGAGAACGTTGCTCCACTGAAATTAGATTGCAACGAAGGGTGTATGTGGCATATGTCTGCCTGCGCCCATCATAAGAGAGATTTGATAACTATAGCCAAAGTCTGTCTCTGATTCCCTTACAAAAAAAAAACTCATAATACAAGGGGCAAGAACTTAAGGAGCTGATTGAGGAGCGGATTTGGAAGAGGGAAGGAGGAGTGGAATGGTCTAGGGCATGGCAATAGGTTCTTCAGGTCACCAGTTTAAACATCGACTGGTGCCTTTAGAGCTGGTCCAACACCTACTGAAGTCAATGGGACTCTTTCCATTGATTACAGTAGGTATTGGATCAGGCCCTTAACGACCACTGTGCTTGTGGTCTGTGCTTGTGGAACTGTGTTGAGGTGCACAAAAACCACGAAAAATAAAACCCACTATAATCTTTTACAAAAGTATAAAAAGGTCATTAGACAAATGTACATAGCAGGATTTTTCCTAGTAGTTAAATTTACATTTCCTGGACTTCCTTGTCTACAGGTATTAGATGTATTAATTTACTTTTCAACATATTATGTAAGGTACTGAACACAAAGGATGAATTGAGCTTTTAACCTAGAAGCAGGGGGAGGAGACTATCTTCAATCAAGTACAAAATGAGTTACTGAGCAGCAGCTGGGAGAAGCATGCAGAACAAGACCCAGATAACCCAATCATTTAGGTGTCACACAAATTTACAGAGCCACCACGCACCACAGAGTGTTTATTAGTACCTGCATAGTAACTCAAGGATGCATGGTAAACAGTGTGTCACCATTCTAGTTGCAAGATTCACCTAAATCAGAGCTTAAACAAAAGGTCAGGCTTTTCTCTACGACCCAAAACAACAGGCAACTCAAGTCTACACACTTATAAAAGAAAAAACCATTCATAGGATCTGAAGTGTGACTCTCAACATATAAGGGAAATGCGAACCTTTTTGCTCTCCTTCTCACTTAGCAAAGTGTATTCCACTGTATATACACCATTGCATGAACATAAGAACATAAGAACAGCCGTACTGGGTCAGACCAAAGGTCCATCTAGTCCAGTATTCTGTCCTCTGACAGTGGTCAATGCCAGGTGCCCCAGAGGGAATGAACGGAACAGGTAACCATCAAGTGATCCATTCCATCGCACATTCCCAGCTTGTGGTAAACAGAGGCTAGGGACACCATCCCTGCCCATCCTGGATGATAGCCATTGATGGACCTATCCTCCATGAACATATCTAGTTCTTTTTTGAACCCTGTTATAGTCATGCACACAAACACTATCTGAAAAATACCTCTTTGTTAATTTTGTTGGACTCTGCTACTCGGTCAGACAGTGCTGGGTTCTGAGCTGGAGGGACTGCAATTGGCTGCATGGCAATCAACTGGATCTTGCTGGGGACGCGTCGACTTGCATCTGAGGAACGAGACATCCTGTCCACATGTTCAAAGATAGAGGCTGAGGAGTGCTGCTCATTTCCACTACTGGGCTGCGGAGGTCCTGAGTTACCAGAACAAATAAAATAAAAGACAGTGTCATAGCTAGGATCAACTCAGTCAAATGTCTGGCCATTCAAGATAACATGAAATGGTGGACTACAACATTATGCCATCTTTGCTGCTGCGCTTAATTTGCACTGGAGGTCTTCCATCCGCTGCAGATTTATTGCGGGCAGTTTACTCAGTAGTTTGCAGATTACAAAACTTTTTCATTTTTCTTCCTGAGGGTGAATGATCCTTCTTTATTTTCTTAAACCAAGTATTTGATATTTTACAAAGATAAAAAGCTCAAACCAGTTTTATCCCATCAAAAGCTATTTAGAATGCTCTAGTGCATACTACAAATTGCTATTGATAACATTACTTAAGAAGGCTCAGATTCCACAAATGGAGTTTTAAAAACCAATAAAAGACTTCGAACTGCAAAATGCCGCACTTTAACAGATAAGTGATAGTGAGGGCAATTTCTCAACTAAACAAAGATTTAAAAATCTGTCCAAAATGTAGTTTTACAGCCAATTTTTACAAATTTAAGCTTTTTAATGGTTTGTTTTTTCTTATCAACAGATGGTAAACAGTCTAGCATTAGGTGTTTAGCTGTACAAACAGTGCTTTGCTGTGATTTGTTGGGAAAATTAATTTCTACACCTACAATACAAATATACCTAAGAGAGTCATTCTAGGGAACCAATGGACATTTGCTTGATAATGAGCTCATCAAATATCTTATTACATTTTTGTACTAGTTGGTTAATGAGTTTCAAAATATGCAACTATACTACTTAGTCAGAACCTTTATAATCTTATCCATAACTTTCTGTTCACAGTGCCTATTCTATAAATGAAAGCTTCAGAGACAATGTCAATCTGAAATATGGTCAATTTAACAAAATTAATTAAAAGTAGTTTCAAGTACTACACCTGTCCTTATATGTCTTTCTGCCAGTTTTTGTGGTTCTATAATAACATTTTTCTTTTTGAAAAAAATATGTTCCTCTCCCCACTGCTGCTGCATGAAAGACTCACAAACAAAGGAAGAAACTCACTAAAACTCACTATTCCTACAACAAACTTCATGTGAAGGCACCTCTATGCTTGTGGAAGCCCTAAGAAGTGAGTCAGGAAAATTCTGCTTAGGTCCTGGGGGCTGCCCATGTGGAACAATTTACAGTACTGAGGCCTAAATGACTGATGCTACAAAAGAACTAGAGAAACAGACTATACGAAAAAGTGCTGTCAATGCATTAAAGGAACACATGGAAAAAACAAGAGAATTTTATTTTGCCTAATTTTTTTCAGCACCAATAATTATAAATATTATTTTTAATACAAATGCAGAAAGTAGCATATTTTAGGACGATTGTATCCTTTTAAACAGAAAAATAAAAGACAAAAACTAATTCCTTCTGTAAATACTAAAAGGGGAAAAAAGTCTCTGAAATGATTGTAATATTATTTCAATTAATCAATCACATCTGTAATTTGCTAACCTATAATTAAGAGAGTTAAATATTTTATTTAAATAATATTAAATATTAAAATGGATAGCAAATCTCCTATGGATATCTCATTGAGTTAATCTATGCTATTGACAACAACTTAGATCAGTGGTTCCCAAACTTGTTCCGCTGCTTGTGCAGGGAAAGCCCCTGGCGGTCCGGGCTGGTTTGTTTACCTGCCATGTCCGCAGGTTCGGCCGATTGCTGCTCCCAGTGGCTGCGGTTCATTGCTCCAGGCCAATGGGAACTGCTGGAAGCAGCGGCCAGTATGTCCCTCGTCCTGCGCAGGTAAACAAACCGGCCCGGACTGCCAGGGGCTTTCCCTGCACAAGCGGCGGAACAAGTTTGGGAACCACTGACTTAGATCATTAAAAATAAATAATTTTAATCACCTAATTTACTTTTTCCTATCTAGGTATTAGTTTCCTTTCCTCTTGAACAGTTTAAACACACTAGTCGGTTTTTCTTGTTCACTGTCAATTCTAGTTACTTCCACTTTCAGCTTCTCACGTAATTAACACAATGCAGTGGCTTGGGTTCCAAGTGCAAAGGGGAATGCTACTTTGTTAAAACAATTATTTCCACTAGAACTTAAACAAAAGACATGGAACATCTGTATTGGTTTTAAGAATTTTGCAAAACCGTGTCTTTACAAAACCTACGTTTCTTGTACAAATGTGATCTAACCTCTCTAATTTTGTCCCTCTAATTTAACACAAAGCTATTTCCCTTCAATGGGCATCGTCCAAAGTCCACTGTAGTCAATGGGCAGCAGTAGGTACAGTAATGAAGCCACCAACCTATTTTTACATATGACACTGAATAGCCAACTGATAATTTTTAGTCCCAACAGACCTGGGCAGAGTAATAACTGTGAACAAGTGAAGGCTCATTATTCAATTATCAACCCCTCGAGCCATCCAGTCCCTCGGAAGTAAAGATTTAAGTTTATGAGTCACAAAAGATGCACTGTCCTAGGGATGAGGGTTCCACAACCAACACTCCCAAGAGGAGGAGGAGGGTGGTGGTGGTCGGGGACTCCCTCCTCAGGGGGACTGAGTCATCTATCTGCCGCTCCGACCGGGAAAACCGAGAGGTCTGCTGCTTGCCAGGAGCTAGGATACACGATGTGATGGAGAGACTGCCGAGACTCATCAAGCCCTCGGATCGCTACCCCTTCCTGCTTCTCCACGTGGGAACCAATGATACTGCCAAGAATGGCTTTGAGTGGATCACTGCAGACTACGTGGCTCTGGGAAGAAGGATAAAGGAGTTTGAGGCACAAGTGGTGTTCTCGTCCATCCTCCCTGTGCAAGGAAAAGGTCTGGGTAGAGACCGTTGAATCGTGGAAGTCAACGAATGGCTACGCAGGTGGTGTCGGAGAGAAGGCTTTGGATTCTTCGACCATGGGATGGTGTTCCAAGAAGGAGGAGTGCTAGGCAAAGACAGGCTCCACTTAACGAAGAGAGGGAAGAGCATCTTCGCAAGCAGGCTGGCTAACCTAGTGAGGAGGGCTTTAAACTAGGTTCACCAGGGGAAGGAGACCAAAGCCCTGAGGTAAGTGGGGAAATGGGATCCTGGGAGGAAGCACGAGCAGGAGAGCGCAAGAGGGGAGGACTCCTGTCTCATACTGAGAAAGAGGGATGATCGATGAGTTATCTTAAGTGCCTATATACAAATGCAAGAAGCCTGGGAAACAAGCAGGGAGAACTGGAAGTCCTGGCACAGTCAGGGAACTATGATGCGATTGGAATAACAGAGACTTGGTGGGATAACTCACATGACTGGAGTACTGTCATGGATAGATATAAACTGTTCAGGAAGGACAGGCAGGGCAGAAAAGGTGGGGGAGTTGCGTTGTATGTAAGAGAGGAGTATGACTGCTCAGAGCTCCAGTATGAAACTGCAGAAAAACCTGAGCGTCTCTGGATAAAGTTGAGAAGTGTGAGCAACAAGGGTGATGTCGTGATTGGAGTCTGCTATAGACCACCAGACCAGGGGGTGGAGGTGGACGAGGCTTTCTTCTGGCAACTAACAGAAGTTGCTAGATCGCAGGCCCTGATTCTCATGGAAGACTTTAATCACCCTGATATCTGCTGGGAGAGCAATACAGCAGTGCACAGACAATCCAGGAAGTTTTTGGAAACTGTAGGGGACAATTTCCTGGTGCAAGTGCTGGAGGAACCAACTAGGGGCAGAGCTTTTCTTGACCTGCTGCTCACAAACAGGGAAGAATTAGTAGGGGAAGCAAAAGTGGATGGGAACCTGGGAGGCAGTGACCATGAGATGGTCGAGTTCAGGATCCTGACACAAGGAAGAAAGGAGAGCAGCAGAATACGGACCCTGGACTTCAGAAAAGCAGACTTTGACTCCCTCAGGGAACAGATGGGCAGGATCCCCTGGGAGAACAACATGAAGGGCAAAGGGGTCCAGGAGAGCTGGCTGTATTTTAAAGAATCCTTATTACGGTTGCAGGAACAAACCATCCCGATGTGTAGAAAGAATAGTAAATATGGCAGGCGACCAGCTTGGCTTAACAGTGAAATCCTTGCTGACCTTAAACGCAAAAAAGAAGCTTACAAGAAGTGGAAGATTGGACAAATGACCAGGGAGGAGTATAAAAATATCGCTCAGGCATGCAAGAGTGAAATCAGGAAGGCCAAATCGCACTTGGAGTTGCAGCTAGCAAGAGATGTTAAGAGTAACAAGAAGAGTTTCTTCAGGTATGTTAGCAACAAGAAGAAAGTCAAGGAAAGTGTGGGCCCCTTACTGAATGAGGGAGGCAACCTAGTGACCGAGGATGTGGAAAAAACTAATGTACTCAATGCTTTTTTTGCCTCTGTCTTCACAAACAAGGTCAGCTCCCAGACTGCTGCACTGGGCAGCACAGTATGGGGAGGAGGTGACCAGCCCTCCATGGAGAAAGAAGTGGTTCGGGACTCTTTAGAAAAACTGGACGTGCACAAGTCCATGGGGCCGGATGCGCTGCATCCGAGGGTGCTAAAGGAGTTGGCGGATGAGATTGCAGAGCCATTAGCCATTATTTTTGAAAACTCATGGCGATCGGGGGAGGTCCCGGATGACTGGAAAAAGGCTAATGTAGTGCCCATCTTTAAAAAAGGGAAGAAGGAGGATCCGGGGAACTACAGGCCAGTCAGCTTCACCTCAGTCCCTGGAAAAATCATGGAGCAGGTCTTCAAGGAATCAATTATGAAACACTTAGAGGAGAGGAAAGTGATCAGGAACAGTCAGCATGGATTCACCAAGGGGAAGTCATGCCTGACTAACCTAATTGCCTTCTATGATGAGATAACTGGCTCTGTGGATGAGGGGAAAGCAGTGGATGTGTTATTCCTTGACTTTAGCAAAGCTTTTGATACGGTCTCCCACAGTATTCTTGCTGCCAAGTTAAAGAAGTATGGGCTGGATGAATGGACTGTAAGGTGGCTAGAAAGCTGGCTAGATCGTCGGGCTCAACGGGTAGTGATCAATGGCTCCATGTCTAGTTGGCAGCCAGTTTCAAGCGGAGTGCCCCAAGGGTCGGTCCTGGGGCTGGTTTTGTTTAATATCTTTATTAATGATCTGGAGGATGGTGTGGACTGCACTCTCAGCGAGTTTGCAGATGACACTAAACTGGGAGGCATGGTAGATACACTGGAGGGCAGGGACCTAGACAAATTAGAGGATTGGGCCAAAAAAAACCTGATGAGGTTCAACAAGGACAAGTGCAGAGTCTTGCACTTAGGACGGAAGAATCCTATGCACTGCTACAGACTAGGGACCGAATGGCTAGGTAGCAGTTCTGCAGAAAAGGACCTAGGGGTCACAGTGGACGAGAAGCTGGATATGAGTCAACAGTGTGCTCTTGTTGCCAAGAAGGCTAACAGCATTTTGGGCTGTATAAGTAGGGGCATTGCCAGCAGATCGAGGAACGTGATCATTCCCCTTTATTCGACATTGGTGAGACCTCATCTGGAGTACTGTGTCCAGTTTTGGGCCCCACACTACAAGAAAGATGTGGAAAAATTGGAAAGAGTCCAGCGGAGGGCAACAAAAATGATTAGGGGTCTGGAGCACATGACTTATGAGGAGAGGCTGAGGGAACTGGGCTTGTTTAGTCTGCAGAAGAGAAGAATGAGGGGGGATTTGATAGCTGCTTTCAACTACCTGAAGGGGGGTTCCAAAGAGGATGGATCTAGACTGTTCTCAGTGGTGGCAGATGACAGAACAAGTAGCAATGGTCTCAAGTTGCAGTGGGGGAGGTCTAGGTTGGATATTAGGAAACACTATTTCACTAGCAGGGTGGTGAAGCACTGGAATGCGTTACCTAGGGAGGTGGTGGAATCTCCTTCCTTGGAGGTTTTTAAGGCCCGGCTTGACAAAGCCCTGGCTGGGATGATTTAGTTGGGAATTGGTCCGGCTTTGAGCAGGGAGTTGGACTAGATGACCTCCTGAGGTCCCTTCCAACCCTGATATTCTATGAATGATACCACTTAGGGATAGGAGCTATCTAATAATATATACTACATTAAACCAAACAGCTGACAGAGTTCACAGCAGCATAAATACTGGCCATTTAAAAGATATTATTAACTATTCACATTCTGTTCAAGGAAGGAAACTAAGAGGCAAAGAATAACAGAGATCACATTAGCATGCAATACTTCAGTCAAAACATCACAAATCACATCATTAAAAAAATAGCCTCAATTAGAAAAAATGCACTTGCTATTGGATAAACAAATGACCCTTTAATATAATTTGTGTTATTGAGTATTCTTTCTGAGAGTAAATTGCTCAAAACCAATCTTGGTTTTTAGACTCTGAGGACAAATCGACTCAAACTTCAGATACAACTAGTTAAACTTTCTCAAGACCTTTATTCACATTTGTACCACAAAACTGCCAATAAAAGAAAGGCTGTCAAACACTAGTCTGGATACTTACCCACTCTGTTTGCTCCTGACAGCATAAAGGAGAAAGCAAAGAAAGATGACACCGTAGTTATGAATAATTCAGCAGAAATGGCATTTAGAAAAACGTATGATAAAAAGGGCGCTCTGGTGCTGAGATACATGATTGCCAAGCCTTAGCTGCAGGAAAAGGAGGCTGACACTGGAGTTTAGGAGCAGTAAAATACACCATTACAGTGGGGTCTGGTCTTGAACATTAAAAATAGCCCCCTTTATCCCTTGATCAGGAGGACCAATTACTGAGAAACGGCTTCTTCATCCCCAGAATAGCAGAAGGGAAAAAGAGGACACATTTTGCACAGCTCTCCAGCAAATCTTTCCAGATAATTAAGACACAGTTACAATTAGCTCTCGATGTAACAACTTCTAACACTCCCTAAAGCCTAACACGGAAACTCTGAAGAAGATGTGAAACAAGGGGACAAATAGGGAGTTTCCCAGCAGGAGGCAATGGGATAGTATTGAATAGGGCTGGATTCACATAGACTGGAACAAGTAGTAGTCCAACAGTCTTTCATAACATTAACTCCTCATAAAACACTAATATTATATCAATTTATTCAGGCATTAATACTGGTCCTTACAGCAAACATAAGACATTAAAACATACACCCTAGGCCACTAGGATGACACCTTACAAAATAAAAAGGTCACCTCGTGAAAGGTATACACAAGGGGCCTGTATTGCATACTAGTTTATTGGGAAGCACACTTTTTTATTTTCTGGCAGCGTTTGCCTACTTTGTGTTTTGTTTGCTTACATGCTACAACCGAATGTTCATCCAGGAGGTAAACTAGCCTCATCAAACCAGCCCTTTCAGGATCATTCGGTGTTCTGAGCATTGCATAAGTAGAAGCATACACTAGGGAAAAACGGGTGCTTTGGAAGGGAACTAGTGATTGATATTCTAATAAAGACCTCTTGCATCTTACTCATTATCATCTCTTCTCTGACACAATGGTAAACTGGGAAATGTATGCTATTAGCTCAAGTATACTGGCATTGCATTCCTCAGGAGCCACCTCATGGAAAACTTTGAACACCTTTCAACTTTATAGAGGGATCTGCCTGTGGTATTTCCAGTATTCCCTTCTCTCTCGTTTTACTACTACTAAGGACATTTGTACAAAACAGGATTGTAATGTATCTGGACCCCCACACTGGAGCTACTGTGATTGACGAGCTGAGGATCTGGTCCTAAAATCTCCATTGAGAAGTAAGCAATATGAATAGAAGTGTGAGCTCTTAATTAAAATCCTGTTTTCATGCAAACATTTTAAATATTTTAAAATGGGGTAAAAGGGAATAAAAACATGACAGGGGTGAGCTGAATAGCGTGCAATATTTTCCATGAGATGCCAACAAGTCTTTACCAAAACTCGTGCTAACAATAAGGCATCTTGGCTTCTAAATTATACCATGCACAAGCACCACACTGATTTTTAAACCCTTAGTTCTCCAAACTATTTTTAAATCTCAGTTTTTCAAAATCACAGTTAAAGACATATGCCCCCACGGTGTTAAGTCCTGTTGTGATCTCCTTGCACCTCTAATTTCCTGCAAGATTGCTACCAACAGAGTCATAATGATATGATTAGAAACATATTTGCTGGATGAGAGAAGGGAGGGTGATTGGTGTTATATCACTTGGATCAGATGCATGCCTGAATGAAAGAAACATGCAGATCTCCAACTGCAACATATGAAAAGAGAAAATAAACAGAGGGAAAAATAGCGGAGAACCAAAACAAGAAGATCCAATAGACAAAAATTACTTTTTAGAAAGTAGCAGCACTGAAATGTATCTCGGGTGTGCCCTACCAAAACACTGCAGCAAGAGACTGAAGAAAAAAATGTAACAAACCACTCTTTGGAGCTCTGCGTGGTTTGCCCTCATTGGCAGAGGTTGGTGGTCTTGCGGTTTCTTCCCCTGTCTCTCTCCCACTGGACTGTTCACTCGCTGTGGAGTCAGCATCTGAAGGGGAAACTCTGCAGCCATAAAAAAAAGAAGATATAAAAAAAGATGAATGAAATGTTAGACAGGTTTATAAAGGGCTGTGGCCAGCAGATACAAGGAGATCTCATAAGAACATATGTTGGTAGGACTGTCAAAGTTCTTTTGAGAAAGAACTTTGACTTATAATAAATAACTGATTACCTTTGTCATGAGTGTGGGAATTGCAAAATTAGGCTGTGGCAATGCTGTGCCCTGTGACTTCACTGATACACATGACAGGATTGCTAAGTAACCTGTTTTTACTTTTAAAAAGGTAATCTTAATTGTAACAGAAAGCCCTTCACCTTAACAACTAGCAGGACTACTTTTCAGGCAGAAAAGTCATCTGTTCCTTCAAAAGTAATATGACTAAATGTGCAGTTAGTATCAGAGTATGAAGTTACCAAGTCCAGCATTAAAGTAACTCTGAAAGTAAGTCCACTCTGATAGTTTTGCTGACTATTTAAGCCTACAATCAGCCAGGACTATGAATATTTTATTTACTCCATGCAGTACCAAACAAAAGAAAGATATAATCCCTTGGTTCCTATAAATTGTGGACACAGCTTGTCTATGCAAAAATACATTAGCATTATTGTTATCCCATCCTTCCTCCTCAGCACCTCTGTTTACTTGTCTGTCTTAGATTTAGATTGTAAACTAACTGGGGCAAGGATTGTGTCATCTACATGTTTGTTAAGCATGTGTACAATGGGGCCTCCATCTATTTGGGCATTCAGGAGCTGCAGGAATACTAATAACCTATAATTTCTTATATCACTCAATTTAATTATCTCATTGTAGGTATATACAGAACAATTAAAGGCAATCTTGTGTTTTTCCCCACCAGCCTCTGAATTGCATGCATATTTCAGCTGAAAGCTATTCAAAAAACAGAATACAAAATAATAACAGGACAGAATACATTACATGCAACTGATTCTAAACTCAGTACTTCAGCAGATGATTAGCTGATGCGATAGTATGCATATTGGACATATAATCTTGCAAACATTCATAGTCTGTCTGTGCACTGATGCAATGGTTTCATGAAGTGGACTAGTTGGTCCACCAACCTTGGTAAGTGCCAGATTTGTTACTGCTAGCAGATATTTGACCCCGTTACTAAAGCCTTCAACTAAATGTCAGCGTTCCCTAGAGAGTGCACACTAAAATAAGTGCTGCACAGGCAGGTGAGTTTATCAAAAGTTCAACCCACCACGTGCACTTGTTAGTGCTCCTAACAACTTCCCTCTCACCCTATGCATACTGCCAGTCTATCTACAGAACTCCATACAAATTCTCTTCCTGCAAAAGTAGTATATTGGTTATTCAAATCCCAATACAAAATACTCCTGGAAAAAAGGAGAATCACTATAGTAGGAACAAATCTTCCTCACTACATAATCTTTTTTATAGACAGAAGAGCCCCACAAACAGGAAAATGAGAGCTGAGCTCTCTCTGTTTGAGCACCTCTTTGTCAGAACATAAGAATGCCCTTGCTGAGTCAACACCAATGGTCCATCTAGCCCAGTATCCTGTCTTCCGACAGTGGCTGGGGCCAGATGCTAGGGAGGGAATGAACACAACAGGGTATTTATCGAGTGATCCATCCCCTGTTGTCCAATCCCAGCTTTGGGCAGGCAGAGGCTTAGGTATGCCCAGAGCATAGGGTTGCATCCCTGACCATCTTGGCTAAGAATTTATCTAATTCTTTTTTGAACCCAGTTATACTTTTGGCCTTCACAACATCCCCGTGGCAACAAATTCCATAGGTTGACCATGTGTTGTGTGAAGAAGTACTTCCTTATATTTGTTTTAAATCTGCTGCCTATTAATTCATTGGGAGACTCATGGTTCTTGTATTATGTGAAAGGGTAAATAACACTTCCTTATTTGCTTTCTACACACCATTTATGATTTTATAGACATCTATCATATCCCTCTTGTCTCTTTTCTAAGATGAACAGTCTCACTCTTTAATCTCTCCTCGTATGGAAGCTGTTCCATACCCTTAATCATTTTTCTCGCCCTTCTCTGTACTTTTTCCAATTCTAATAAATCTTTTTTGAGATGGGGTGACTAGAACTGCATGCAGTATTCAAGGATGAATTTATAGGGTGGCATTATGATATTTTTCTATCTTATTATCTATCCCAGGAATCAGCAACCTTTGGCATGCTGCAGTTTGCTGTTCCAGGCCAATGGGGGCTGCGGGAAGTGGCATGGGCAGAGGGATGTGCTGGCCGCCACTTCCCGCAGCCCCCATTGGCCTTGAACAGCGAATCGTGGCCAGTGGGAGCTGTGATCGGCTGGAGCTGCGGACACTGCAAGTAAACAAACCGTTCTGGCCTGCCAGTGGATTTCCCTGATGGGCTGTGTGCCAAAGGTTGCCGATCCCTGATCTATCCTTTTCCTAATGGTTCCTTACATTCTGTTAGCTTTTTTGACTGTCGTTGCACCAGAGAACTATTGCTGGTGACTCCAAGATCTCTTTCCTGAGTGGTAACAGCTAATTTAGACCCCATCACTTTGTCTGTATAGGTGGGATTATGTTTTCCAATGTGCATTACTTTGCATTTATCAACACTGAATTTCATCAGCCATTTTGTTGCCCAGTCACCCAGTTTTGTGAGATCCTTTTGTAACACTTTGCAGTCTGCTTTGGACTTATCTATCTTGAGTAATTTCATATTGTATGCAAACTTTGCCACCTCACTGTTTCCCCTTTTTTCCAAGATCCTTTATGTATACGTTAAACAGCATCCCAGTACAGATCCTTGGGGGACCCTGATATTTGCTGCTCTCCACTATGAATACGGACTATTTATTCCATCCTTTGTTTCCCATCTTTTAACTAGTTACTGATCCATGAGAGGACCTTCCCTCTTATCTCATGACTACTTAGTTTCCTTAAGAGCCTTTGATAAGGGACTTTGTTAAATATATTCTGAATGTCCATGTACACCATATTCACTGGATCATCCTTGTCCACATTTGTTGATACTTTAAAATAATTCTAATAGATTGGTGAGGCATGATTTCCCTTCGCAAAAGCCATGTTGACTCTTCCCTAACATATTGTATTCATCTATATGTCTAATGATTCTGTTCTTTCCTATAGTTTCAACCAATTTGTTTGATATTGAAATTAGGTTTACTGGCCTGTAATTGCCAGAATCGCTTCTGGAGCCTTTTAAAAAAATCAGCAGTACATTAACTATCCTCCAAGCATCTGGTACAGAGGCTGATTTAAACCATCAGTTACATACCATCAGTTACATACCACAGTTAGTAATTCTACAATTTCATATTTGAGTTCCTTCAGAACTCTTGAGTGAATACCATCTGGTACGGGTGACTTACTACTATTTAAATCTATCAATTTGTTCCAAAACCTCCTCTACTGACACCTCAATCTGGGACAGTTCCTTAGATCTGACACCTAAACAGAATGGCTCAGGTGTGGGAATCTTCCCTATGTCCTCTGCAGCGAAGGCTGATGAAAAGAATTCATTTAGCTTCCCCACAATGACCTGGTCTTCCTTGAGTACTCCGTTAGCACTCTGATGGTCCAGTAGCTCCACTGGATTTTTTGGCAGGCTTCCTGCTTCTGATGTACTTTAAAATGTTTTTTGCTGGTAGTTTTCATGTCTTCTGTTATTGCTCTTCAAATTCTTTCTTGGCTTGCCTACTTATACTTTTATACTAGACTTGCCAGAGTTTATGCTCCTTACTATTTTCTTGAGTAGGATTTGATTTCCAATTTTTAAACGATGTCTTTTTGTCTCTAACCACTTGTTATACTCTCTTGTTTAGCCAGAGGGGCATTTTTTTGGTCCTCTTGTGGTATTTTTTATTTGGGGGTGTACATTTAGTTTGAGTCTCTATTATGGTGTGTTTTTAAAAGTTTCCATGCAGCTTGCAGGCATTTCACTCTTATGACAGCGCCATTTAATTTCTGTTTAACTAATTTCCTCATTTTCCTCACTCTGTGCCTCTGTTCTACCTCCCACCCTTCGTCTTTTCTATTTAGATTTTTAGTAAATATGTATTTTATGGTAGCATACAAATGCCTTATTAGGGATTGGGGCTCCATTTTGCTGGGTGCTGTTGTAAGATATTCAGGGCAGGGATTGTCCCTTATTATGTATTTATACCGTGCATAGCACAGAAGGACCCCGATTTCAGTTGGGGCCTCTCGCTGCTACTTGAATAAATAATCATCTTTATAATCAATAGTTTATATATCATAAGTCTCTTCCATTTGCTACTTGTTTAATCTACTACCCATCTCTAGGTGAAAGGTATGTACGAAGACAATCACTGACCCATAACAGTCTATCCCAACTCTACCTATCGAGTTAACTCTCACCTCTGATCAGCCCATGATGTCAGCCTCCTCTGCTGACTAGTTAAATTTTCAAACAAGCACCTTTGTGCTTTCTCCCAAGTTGCCTCAAACACTTATAGGAGCTCCCCATAAACATCAACAAAACTACCTTATTATCCTCCTTCAAAACCCTCTTCTGCCATGATGTCTACAAAAAAACCCTTGACAACAGTCAGGCTATTGGCGTGCTGAGACCACGGGCCTATCATGTTGACCAATACTGTTTTATTGTTCTCTTCTACCTTCCCATCTGTCTGTATTCATTTACTATCTCTTGTTTTATGCATCAATTGTAAACTCTTTGGGGACCAAACCATCTTTTTATTGTGTCTGTACTGTACCTAGTACAATAGGATCCTAGTTCATGACTCAGTGCTCCAGTAATACAAATAACAAATATGAATATTCACCATACTGTTTTGTACAGCATTATATTGAACCAGATTCTGTTTTATTCTGTACATACCCACATAACCAAAGAACTGAAAGAATAATCCATAAAATATAATTCCTTAATGTGTCCGTCTTTCCCTCCCTCGGGGAGAAAATGTTTTAAACGTCTCATTGGCAGCTGCACATCAACATATTATGAAGCAACTCCACAGTTAAGCCTACATGGAGATTGCACTTAAATCAGGGGGCGGAAATACCCACATTTCAAATGTGGCATAATGATTTTTTAAGTAAAATATTTACTAACTTTTCCAGGGGAAACATTTAAAAAAGCTTCTTTTTGAAATTTTACCATGTTTTCCTTTTTTTTCTTTGAGTTCTGCTAAAACCCTCAGACACCAGAGAACTCTCAAACTCCAAGCTACTCTCTCTCTTTTCACACACTTACCACTTTTGAAATTTTAAAATGAAACACAGGAACTCATCTCTCTCATTTAGAATAATCTAATTGATCTGAGCCAAGATTAGCTGACAGAAGTGTCAAGTTCCTTCAACTGCTTCTGTTTTCTGAGATGCTGCTAGCCTTGGTCCCTGACTCACTAGCTCTACTCCTTACAAAGCCCAGGGGGAGGCAGGGAATATGGGGGATGGGCTCTGGAGAAGCCCATGTGTGGCAGCAAGGGTGTCAGGCGGCAGGAAGAGTGAACGAAGCTTTGGGGTGCATGAGGGGTTGAGTGGAGAGGTGTGGAGATTTTTAGGGGTGAGTTGGGGTGCAGGGATCTGACACTGAGCAGGGAGACTTAGGTGGGAAGAAAAAGGGGAGGCCCATCCTCTGCTTTCTGGCAAACCATGCTGCACGGAGCCAGAGGAGTCAAGTTCTTCTGTGCAGAGGCAATGATTTACCAGGGGTTCCCCCACAGTGCTGCCAGCGCAATGCACTAAGGAGTCAAGGCAGCAGCAGATGAAGAACCCTTCAAGTGCCGACAAGTCAGTGCAGAGGCTGTGTGCTGCCTAGACCCCCAAGGCAACATCTGTATGCCTCTCATTTTTCCCAGCAAGCCTCTCCACCCAAAACATTCTCCACACGCACCCCTCACTCCCTCTCCCAGCCTCCCCCATCATCACTCTTGGTTTCCCCTGACCACAATGCAGTAGCACTGCGGGGAGCCAAAGTGGAATGAGTAACCATGCTGGGGGACACAGCAAGGGACAAATGGCTCTGTGTGTGTGTGTGTGTGGGGGGGGGGGCATCTGGGCGGCAAACAGGGATGGTGAAGAAGGGGTGGGAGTGAGCAGAGATGTGAAGGGGAGAGGAGGAAGAACTGGCGGAAAGTGCAGCAGAGAGGAGCTCTGTTCTGCTGAACCACTTGTGGTTCATCATACCATGGCTCCTCCTCTCTGCTTCATTTCTTCCCATCAGGCCCCACTTAGCTCTTGCTCATTTGTCCCACATTTCCCTTTCACAGTCCAAATTTCTGTGTGCCCCCTCAGCCCAATCAACTGTCATGCCCGGCTACACCCCTGCACACCACTCAGTACTCTCCCTGCAGTGCCACACTCCTTTTCCTCACCGACTTCCCCAATGCCCCTCCCCATCCAACCCGTTCTGACACCATCCTATGCCCCACGTCCTCACATAGCCCCGCTCCTCCATATGCACCTCCTACCCATCATCTTCATCCATCCCACGCCCCGCTAATTCTCAACCACATTCAGCTTTTAAATACTGATATGCATCAACACTGATTCTTCTCAGCGTTTCAGTTCTGAATGTGGTAAGGGAGTAGGGTAGCATCCACCCAGGCAGTTGGGTGTGGAAGCACAATGAAGAGTGAGGCTGTAGAAGTTATGGGTGCCAAAATTGCAAACACTTGATATAGGTGGTTTCATAAAGCACCAGTGACTTTCATTCAATCAGCACATTTGTGAGCGAGGAAGTCACCCGTCTTCCACAAACCAATATCCAGTCTCTTCTGCAAAGTTGCAGCATATCCCAGTGTCCTGCTTTGGTGAGAACAATTCCGACAGCAGCTCTAGTGAAGTTTAGTTATGTGACGCACATATATTCAGGAGAATATCAGAGTACCAAGTTCCTTCCTCAGTGTGCTGCACAAGACACAGAGAACTGGGCTGGTAGGAGACCTTCCTCATCACAATACTCAAATAATTAATAGCTCTATGAGAGAGGAAGATGGATGGCTTCAGTCACCACAAATGCCACAGCACTAATATCTCTAACTCACTGTCTCAGCTACACACCCTTTCTTCCCACAGGCCTGATTCTCTCTGGCTCTGGCAGTGCAGTGAGTAGCAGATGAATGATGATGTCATTCAGCCCTTGCTGACGGTCAGGAAATTCTAAGTGAAGGGTGATATGTTGTTCTCAACTTGCTTAGCTGTGGACCTTTTTGCCTGACATCAGTTTGAGGAGAGTGTTGGACATTTAGCAGATAGGTAACACAGTGATGGGCACAGAAAAGAGTGTCATCTTTGAGTTTTGCAGCTTTTGTTGATTTGTGGGAATATTAGTCTGATTTATATATAATAATTGCAACTAATATCACTAATAGGATTTCTTAATCACCCATTCCCCTACTAACCAGAAGCAATTACAAAATTCAATGCATTAAAAGCATACACTTGATGTTACCGCTTAATAGGTAATGCTCTGATTCTGCCCAACCTACACCCTGCCCAAGATATCCCATTTAACTGAAAACGCTGCAATTAAAAGCCAAAAAAAAAAAAAAAAAAGTAGTCTTGCAATGGCGCCTATAAGGTAGCTAGACATAAGCTTTGATGAATTAGTAGAAAAAGCAAGTTCCAAAGTCGAGGATCCTTCACTGAAAATGCTTTGCAATGTACAATAATACTTTGCATTTAATTAACCGTAATCTATCCAATACTACTTCTCTTCAGCTGAACTAACCTCCCTCTGTGTCGAACATTCTTTGAAGGCTTTGAAGTGATCTTTGATTTGGGGCTTGGCACATCTCCATTTTCAGAAGGGGTAGTGTCCTTAATAGGTCCAGGAAGAGGAGCTGGCTCATGAATGATCAGGATATCATCTTTGTTGTGCTGGCCCAGGTGCTGCTTAGCAAAATCAAACCCCTTCACACTGGGGGCTTGTAGCTGTTATGAAAGAATAAAGACAAAACAAAAAACATTAAAAGACAGTAAGTGTAAAAGCTTAATGTCAGGCTGTTGTTCAGAGTTGTAACCAATGATCTTTTTAGGATGGTGACCAGATAACAGGTTCCAAGGGTGAGTAGGAAAGCAATGTAAAAAGAAAAAGAAAAACCATCTCTGCAAACATGTTTTCAGATTATATATATTTTAAGATACAAAGGCAACAGCTCCAGGGGATAGAAGGCATTATGTTGCTACCACACTGACAACAAATTCCTTAGATTTAATAATTACAATAATATCTGTCGTTTTCATTGGGGTTTCCATCTGATGATCTCAAAGCACTGCACAAACTTTACAAATGTGTCTCAGTACCGATGAGTTATGGAAGGATTATTGTTCCCATTTTACAGATGAGACTGAGGAATAGAGATACAGAGGACTGTAGAAACTGCCATACCAGATCAGATCCAAGACTATCCTTCCTTATCCCATCTGCACGGTATTGCTAAATTACAATAGATGACTGACTGTTTTGGCTGGGAAGCGGTGCTCTGAAGGACCAATCCTCACCAGGACCACAAAGCCAAAGTGCAGGTGCAATCGGATCACTGTTACTGATGGGATGGTTCTGTGCTTTAAGCAACAGCAATCCCGGTGGGAAAGCAGGAAAGGAGTTACAGGGCTTCAGGAAACCACAAGATTAAAAACTCTTTAACTACCTGTACTAGGCTTCAATTTGGATGCGGGGAAAATAGTTTGTCAAGTTCTTCTAATGTAAAGAATTTATGGCCCTCACATCATTATTTAGGTAATACTCCTACTGGATTTAATGGGAGTTTTATCTGAGTTAGGAGTTCAAAATTGGGCCTTAATAGTCTAAACAACATTTATAAAATAGCTAACTTCTTATTTTAATAATATTTGTTATTGGCTCTTTCAACTTAATCAAATTATGAGAATGAGAAGTTCACCTGCTAATTTTCCAGACCTTGAAATAATCAGAAACCGTGCCATTCTAAATTTTTACACATTTTTTAAAAAATTGCTTTTCTTTAGGTCACATTTAATTAAAAGTCTGGAAGCTGAAAGTAGGAAAAACCTTTGACAATTCTGGTTTGCACAGCAAACGCACACATATGATGGCTGCATAACAAACACAGCCACCACTCTGTTTGTTCCCAAAATAGGTTTCCCACAAACCGAAAGGTGTGTCTGGGTATGCTGACGGGTGCATCTAGTTCTAAATGTTTAAACGAGTCCCCTTTCATTAAGCCTGGCATGCAGTTTCCAACTACAAACAGGCTGATAAAATGCCAAAACAAGTCTGCCTATGGAACATTTTGAGATCGTCAAAATATTTTCCAAAGGCTCTAGAAGAGCATGTTAAAGAAGTGTGCACTATCTGCTTGATCCAGCAGATGGTGATAGAAGCCCTACAGTTGAAAAGATTCCTTGATAAGGGCATATATGACACATGCCTAATGGTGTCTTTTTTGGGGTACATTTTGCACAAGAGGAGCAAACATGTTAGTTTACTAGATATTTTGGATTTCCTCAACTTTTTCTCTCCCCCTTCTCCCCTGCAAGGTGAAAGAAGGCAGCATTCAGCATTATGGGCCAGATCCTGACATGAATAAATCAAAGATCTATTGACTTCAACTGAGCTATGTTGAGTTATACCACCTGAGGATCTAGCACTGTTTCTCCATCTTTATTGACTTCCGCGCCCACAATCCCAGCCATTTATCTGAACCTCTCCTGAAACTTAGCTCCTCCACACTACATCCCCCTCTTCTGCACACAATCTTATTGACTTTAAAAAATATATTAAAAAGACCAATGTCTGACACATAAATATAAAAAAGACCTTCCTCTTTTCCCTTTCTCCTCCACTTCCCTCCCCCGCATCTTCTTCAACACCCTTTCCTCCAACCCATTCACTTGCTCACTCGACCCCATCTACTCCTGGCAACTATCCACCCCCCCCAAATCCCTACTCTCACCCACTCCTTATCCCTCCTCCACAACCTCTCACTTTCTTCTGGTCTGCTCCCCCATGAGCAGAACACCCACCCTGCCCCTATAACTACTGCTCCATCTTCCTTCTGCCCTTTTTCTTTACATTTATTCAGTGTGACATTTATAATTGCTATCTCAAGTTTCTCCCCTCCAACTCCATCCTGCCTCCTTCATTCCACCAAAAACCCTCTCACCTGAGGTCTCTTGCAGCCTCTTCCTAAATCTCAGATCTTCTACTCCATCCCCATCCTCCTTGATTTCAATAGTATCAAAAACAGCAGAGACCACACCATCCTTCTTAAACTCTTCTCCTCCCTTGGTTTTCACAACCCCGTCCTTTTCTAGTTCTCTTCAATCCTTTCTGATAATTCTTTGTCTCTCTTTTGGTGTCTGTGTGTGTGTGTGTGGGGGGGGGGCGCGGAGGAAGAGTGAATCTTCTCCCTTTATACCCTGGATGATCTTATCCACTCACATGGCTTCAACTAGCAATTGCCAATTACTTAAAAATGACCAATGATTAGGAAATGTTAGAATTAAGGTTGCCCATGAAAATTTAATTCAGACCCTTTGTACATATAACATTTTTAATTATATGATCACATACTATTTTCCCCCAGGACCCCTGCCTCATTCAGTACACAGGATGGACTGTTCTCCAAGGATGAACCAGAACTGTGTAGTGCAAGAGGCTGTTATCTGACTCCACTGTTGCAGAAGATGGAAGGTGTCTAGTGAATGAGTTAGGGGAATGCAGAGAGAGGGAGGCTGTTATCTTCCATGTGGATCTGCCACTAGAGGAGAATGAGACATGCACTTTGCCAGTGGTTTCAGACTCACTTGCTGACAGTAGAGGAATGGTGACTCAAGTCACCACTCCAGGTTTTGGAGGGGCATGTGGTCTACTGGCCACACACCACTCTGCCCTGTTTCCCCAATGCCTGAACACTCTGGTTCCTCATCAGATCTCAGTCTTCCTCCCTGCTCTCAGTCCCAATCTTCCTGCCCAGTCACTCCCTGTCTTCCCTGCCTGGGGTTCCCAGTTCAAGTCTATTCTCTCTGCTGTCCTCCCAGGTCCATCTTTTATCCCTTCTGCATTCCCAGGCAGCAGGTTTCTCTTCCATGCTGCCTTGGTGCCAGCAGAGGGAGCACTGAGAGCACAGGAGAGATGGGATCCCTGATCTCACTTCTGGTGCCTGACCACAACTCTCCCTGCAATGGCTAAGGCTGTGGGCTCAGCCTCTGCAACCCTGGGATAGAGCATGTTCAGTACAGATGGAAACTTCTGAAAATTTCGCACCCAAACTCTACTAAAAAGCCTAATGTGCAAACTGCAATTTTTCTAAGGTTTATAACTTGGTTACATTTTTCAACAAAAGACATATCCCTGGCAGAAATTCCACCCTCCTGCCAAATTTTGAGCCCTTGCTCCAAAGCACAGAGGCTCTAGATCTCCTCAACAAAACAGTTCTAAGTCTGTTTTAGTAATATGTACAAAACAATGTATTTTTCCTTAATCTCATTCTTTTAAAATAGCAGAACCCTTTTTGTTGAAGCTTCCCAAAATGATTCAGCCTGAAACAGAGACCCAACGTGGGAAATTTCAGCCAAAAGTTTAGCAAAGTTATAAGCAACTGAAAACAGGACGTGTCAGGCAACCTTTACTACAGCTCGACAGGAGCTACCGGTTCCGCCTACTATATATCTGTATCTATCTATCAAATCCGAAGTTAGTTTGGGTTTACTAAAGGTGGCCCTTCATGCAACTCCTACCATTTGAGCTAAGCTGTTCTCAAAACATACTCGCTGCTCAATATTTTTATTAAAAATAGAAAAATCAGTATATTTTTGGATACAGATACAATGCCCATAGACTCCGATTTTGTAAAAAACCCTCTACATTTCTATGATCTTCATTCTTTTGACCTCATGATTCTTATTAAAAATGATATTGGCCAAAATCACAAGTGTCAAAAGGACATTGCAACACAAGTCCATATTCAGCAAAGCAAGATGGTCATAACACTGAGATGCAGTGGAATAAATAACATCAGTGTAGTTCAAGACTGAAAAGGCTTTGAGGCATTCCTGTATTTGTTTTCATGTGCTACACAGACTTTCATCTTTTTTTTGTAATAAAAAGCGATAAGCTGTAGCAGGCTGACCTGATTATACGATCTATGTTCATCTCTGAATAGAGGTAACCAGAATCCCATGGGTAGATCAGTCATTTTATTCCTCATACACCAGTGAGGGAAATTGTGGGGGTAGGAATGGAAGAGATCAAACTATTACACCTTTTTGAAGAAAGCACATTTGTGCTGGTACATCTGTCTGTCCAGGCACTGAAATAAAACCTCTCAGCTTCATTTTATTGCCTTCTCAGCCTGTGCCTAAGACTGCACAAAATCAGTACTTTGAAAATCTCAGGTTAGGTTACCTTGGGGGGGGGGGGGATGTTTAATTTTACGTTGTAAAAACTCAATTTTTAAAACTAAGTTTCTAAATGGCAAAACAAAAAGCAATTACAAAATTTAGTGAAAAGTACAGTCACACCTTCAATAAAGAGAATGAGCTAACCCATTGTTAAGGCAGCTGTTGTTCAGCACAAGGTAATATCTATTGAAATCGAGAGTCAAGATTTTTAAAAAACTGGTGCCTCGGGTTAGCCTCTGAAGTCTAAATATAGACACCAAATTCAATGGGAGCTCTTAGGTGACCAACATTTTTGAAAAATCAGACCATTTATTCAGGTGCCTAAATATGGATTTAAGGAGACTAGCATGAGGATTCTATTTTTGAAAATCTTGGCTGAGACATTCAGTAATGTTCATCCAATCAAGGGGGATGAGACTGGCTGAAGATCATTTGACGCTTTTAACATAAACCATGTGTTTGCCAATATACTGTTTTCCTAGGTAAAGGCACAACATGAATGAGACCAATTTGTTTTCCAATAATACTGTTTGGACACACATCTGTGA